TTTACATATTTGATTTTAATTTAAAAAATAAAATCAAAATGAATTTCGAAAAAGAAAAGAATAGTTTATTTGAGAGAAAATAATTTAGATTAAGGTAAGTAAATGTACTACAGCTCGGAGTCCCTATGTCTGCAAAGGGCTTTTGCAAAATTTACAAGGAATCGAACCAAGTCTAAACCTAAATAAATTAGTTGTAGATTAACGACTGGCCGAGTTGACCACTGGACCAGTCGCTCCTCTAACAATAAATTACCGCCATTTTTTTCTCAACTCGTACCAAGTACGAGTAGGCATAATGCTTTTTGTGGACATAGGATTGTGAGCTGCTCATTTACCAAAAATTAATACACATGAAGAATAAATTGTTTGGAATATATCCCCAAATTGAAAAACGTTATTAAAATTATTAAAGAAAAGATATTCACATTTTATGAATATTTTTAAGAATACAATCGGGCCTTTTACATGAATCCTTGGGCTGAAATTACCTTACAAATTCGATCATTTATCCATTATTGGTGTTTATTGCTTACACTATATAGCAATTTAAGTGTTGGATATATCTTATAGTAAGGTCAGACTAATAGAAAAAATATTGGTTGGGATTTTGATTACATTAAGGGTTGATATGGACGTATTTATTTTTAAAATTAATTTTGACAATTTAAATGAGATTTATTCTTAAAAATATTTTTCAAAAAATAAAAAAATAAATATATTTTGTTCATAAACAGATCCAAATTATTATTTTAGTTTTTATTAAACTACATATCGCTAAAATTATTTTTACTAGTTTAATTGTTAAAGAATAAAAAAAGACTACTATTAATTGCCAAGAGACAAATAAAAAATAAAAATAAAGATCCGTTTTGTCTTTTTTAGAATAATTAATTATTAATTTTTCTCCCACCTAATTTTTCTTCAACTTTTATTTGTTTAAAAACAGCTTTAATTTTTAGTTAAATTCCTGATTTTTAGCGAAAATAAAGAAAAGAATGGATTGCCTTGTACTTGACAACTTTTTCTTTTTTTTCGCCACTTCCTTTTTTGTTAAAACTTTCGTTAATAATAAATAATTATTTTATTGGTTATCATCTTTTTGGGTGGCAAGGAGTGAGAGAGAACAAACAATTGATTGATTGTCTTAGAACGGCGCCGCAGGTGGCAATATTATTAACTTAATAATTAATAATTTTGCGAGAAAATCTTTTCTTTTTCTAATATTTTTGCGCGTAAAACGAAACAAGAAAATAATAATTTTTAATAAATTTTTTGTTTCTTTATTGGAGGAGAAGCTTCTCTCTCTCTTTCTCTCTCATGCACGGCAAGAGGAAAGGAAGAGCTTACTCGGCATAAAGAAGTAAAAAAAGGAAAAGGGAAGATGAGGAGTTATGATCGGATAAAGCGAGAAAATGAATGGAAAGAAAAAAGAAAAATATTTTTTATTATTAGACCGGTCTATGCTTTTGCTGTTTTTAACTGCCCTTGAAAGGAATAAATCAAGGGAAAGTAGTTAAAATAGTAGATATTAGCTTTGGCGAGATAAATATTAAATGAGAGAGAAGGAAAAATGATGATTGAGTGAGTGAATGATGATATAGTGTGTGGGGGAAGGAAGGGCCTTCTGAATATTTTTTAGGAAAAGAGAAATTTTTAGAAAAGCTTTGAAAAGTAAAAGAAGCTAGAAATGGGCGGGAATAGCTTCTCGTCTTTATTACATCCGGCCGGAGTTCTCCCAACAACAAACCACCCGCGTCTTGTGAAAGGGGCGAGACGTTCACGGCTATAAAATCGCCATTCATTGGATATTAAACAGCATTTGGCTATTCAATTAAAATAAAATAATATTCTCTAAAATAACGCTAGTTAATTAAAAATAAAATAATTATGATTCTCAGACTTGCTCTTATCAGTTCAGCATTCTTGGCAATTACTGTACGAGCAATTCCTGTCGACAACTCTCTTGTAGGAGAACCTGAAATAGAATGTGGGGCAACTTCAATTACTGTAAACTTCAATACCCAAAATCCATTTGAGGGGCATGTTTATGTTAAAGGACTCTTTGACCAGCAAGGGTGCCGTTCAGACGAACATGGAAGACAAGTAGCTGGTATTGAACTTCAATTCGATACTTGTAATGTCGCCCGTACTCGTTCATTGAATCCAAAGGGTGTATTTGTGTCAACAACAGTTGTTATATCTTTCCACCCTCAATTTGTTACTAAAGTTGACAGAGCATATCGTGTCCAATGCTTCTACATGGAGGCAGACAAAACTGTTTCTGCACAGCTTGAGGTGTCCGAAATTACAACACAATTCCAAACACAAATTGTACCTATGCCTGTATGTAAATATGAGGTAAAAATTACAAAAAAAACTTTTTATAAAAGAAAATATTTTCAAAACAGATCCTCGAAGGGGGCCCAACTGGTCAACCAATTCAATTTGCCATTATTGGCCAACAAGTTTACCACAAATGGACTTGTGATTCAGAGACAGTAGACACATTCTGCGCTGTCGTACATTCTTGTACTGTTGATGATGGTAATGGTGATACTGTCCAAATATTGAATGAAGAGGGTTGTGCTTTGGATAAATTCTTATTAAATAACTTGGAATATCCAACTGATTTAATGGCTGGACAAGAAGCTCACGTTTATAAATATGCTGATCGCTCACAACTTTTCTATCAATGCCAAATTAGCATTACAATTAAAGAACCTCACAGTGAATGTGCACGTCCAAAATGTGCAGAGCCTTCTGGCTTTAATGCTGTCAAAGTTGGTGCTGGAGGGGCGGCGGCAGGAGGAGCACCACCTGCCCCAGCTGCAGCAACACCTGCACCTCCCCCTCAAGCTCCAGCACCCGCAAATCCTATTTCTGGACGTCGTCCTGCTGCTGCAGCACTTGCCCAACTCCGACTTTTACGTAAACGCCGTTCAGCTCCAGGAGAACAAATTCTTGATGTTCGTACTGAATTTAGTGCTCTCGACATTTCTGACAAGGTAAAAAGATAATTACTCTATCCTTAGAACTTTAATAATTTCTCTCCTTTATAGACACCAGTCTTGCCATCAGAAATTCGTACTCGTCAACCAGAACGATTCTTAATGGCCACTGTCCAAGAAGGAATTTGTATGAGCAGTTTTGGCTTTTCAATGTTTATAGGCCTAGGAGGAATGATGTTAGCAGCTACAGTTGTTGTATTAACTTATGCTTTCCGGCCTCATCAAGTGTTAAGCAACACAAAAGCTTAAATTTAATTTTTAAATAAATTATTTTGGCATTATGTGATTAAAAATATTTTTTAATTTTTCCTTTAAAATCTCTTTTTTACATTTTTTTGCACGATTATTGCTGAAAATCACCCAAAATTATAAATAATTATTTTTAATTCCCCAGCTCAAATTATTATTTATACCCTCCTCCCTCTTTTCTTTAGCCAATAATTTATTTTAAATTGTTGATAGTTTGTCCTTTTTTTGTTTTTTATTTTTTTTTTGTATTTTTCTGCCGTTGTCGTGCAGAAAATTTAATTTTTAACAAAATATTTTTCTTGACCATTAAAATTATAAAAATGTTTTTTGAATTTATTTTTTTTATTTGTTTGAGCAAAAAATCCTTTTAAAATAGAGAAACTTCCCTTAAATGTGTTGATATTTTGGGTTAATTCCTTAGAGGAAAACAGGCTTTAGCACTTTTCTTCTCTCTTTTATCATTTCCTTGATCTGCTTTTCTTTAATTTGTTTTTATCTTTAAAAACTTGCTTTCCCTTTCCTTTGGATATAACGCGGAAGTTAAGCAGTTAATTACCCGAAATAAACACTTTTTGATATTTTAATCCGCTTTTGGTGATATTGAAAGGAGAGAGGAAGAGAGAAGGGGTCCGATTAATTAATTGGTGATTAAGTGATTAATTTTAAAATGTTTTTAGAAAGTACAATAATTAATGTGTGTGGTGTTTAAGGAGTTTGTTACAAACAAAAATAAGGCGAACCCCAGTCAGTAACAAGAAAATAGATATGATTTTAAGAACCCTCCCAAAGCAAATTTATCAGCTACTGATCAACTAGGCTTCTAAAAAATAAACTTATTTAAAACTTTAATAATTCTTTTTTATTCTTCTAAAATAAATTTTTCAATTTAAATAACAAAATTACAAATCACTACGTATCACAGATCTAATATAAAAATTCAAAAGTGAACTTTCAAGAACAAATTTTATAGCTTAACAAAAATAAAAATAATCAAAAAAAAAGGAAAAGAATAACCAAAACAAACTTGGATAATGATTCAGAACTGAGGTATTATTAGTAGGACAAGAAAGGGGCATTTGAATTTTAATGAAATGGTTAATAAGTAAGATTCTAATATGAATTTATTTAATAGAACGAAGCCGTCCAAACTTTAAAATTCTTAATTTTTGACTACTTTTAGACTAAAAAAATATATTTTCACTTAATTTTTAATTAATTTATTTTTTCCCTTTTCTTCCAAGTGCCAAAAGGCTTACTATAGTAGAAAAGGAAGAGTGAACTTGTAATGCAGAAACGCAAGAAAATGAATGAAAAATGCGTATTCTCTTGCGCACGACAAAAAAAAATTTAAATCAAAATAAGAAGACTTTTGTTACTTTCATTATTATTAATTTAATTAGATTTTCAATATTTGTAACATAAAATGCAAATTAACAAGAAAGCGATTATTATATGATAAAATAAATTAAATTTCGAATTTCTTTAATCGAAAATCTTTCTATTCAGAGATTTATAATCAAATTTAAAATTATTTTTTAACAATTAAAAAACCAAAGAAAATTTATTTGCTATAACATTTTTATTACTAACTAATAAATTATCTACTAATTTTTAATAAATATTACAATAAATTAATGGCACTTTAGGCACAAATAAATTAATAAATTAAATTTTAAGGGGAAAAGTTTTTATTGCACTTTTGTTTTTTTAGATTCTCATTTTTTCTTCTAATTTTCAAATTTCTCAATATTGTTTTATTTGTGGACGAAATGTACACATTGCAATAACAACTAAATATTAAAAAATATTTTTTTATAAAATTAAACAAAAAAATTTAACCAAATGCTGCAACCATTGCAACCCCCATTGCGAGAAATACAAAAAGTCCAAAGGAAGACATACAAACTTGTTGGCCTCTTTGGGAAATAAACGAACGTTGGGGCTCAGCCAAAAATCCTCCAGACAAGTGACGATGGCGAAGAGGAGGAGGCAAATTATAGGGCTTAAAATTTAGAAAAAGGAAAAAGGATAAGTAGATCCTTTCTTTTTACCTTGTCAGAAATGTCGAGAGCACTAAATTCAGTACGAACATCAAGTATTTGTTCTCCTGGAGCTGAACGGCGTTTACGTAAAAGTCGGAGTTGGGCAAGTGCTGCAGCAGCAGGACGACGTCCAGAAATAGGATTTGCGGGTGCTGGAGCTTGAGGGGGAGGTGCAGGTGTTGCTGCAGCTGGGGCAGGTGGTGCTCCTCCTGCCGCCGCCCCTCCAGCACCAACTTTGACAGCATTAAAGCCAGAAGGCTCTGCACATTTTGGACGTGCACATTCACTGTGAGGTTCTTTAATTGTAATGCTAATTTGGCATTGATAGAAAAGTTGTGAGCGATCAGCATATTTATAAACGTGAGCTTCTTGTCCAGCCATTAAATCAGTTGGATATTCCAAGTTATTTAATAAGAATTTATCCAAAGCACAACCCTCTTCATTCAATATTTGGACAGTATCACCATTACCATCATCAACAGTACAAGAATGTACGACAGCGCAGAATGTGTCTACTGTCTCTGAATCACAAGTCCATTTGTGGTAAACTTGTTGGCCAATAATGGCAAATTGAATTGGTTGACCAGTTGGGCCCCCTTCGAGGATCTGTTTTGAAAATATTTTCTTTTATAAAAAGTTTTTTTTGTAATTTTTACCTCATATTTACATACAGGCATAGGTACAATTTGTGTTTGGAATTGTGTTGTAATTTCGGACACCTCAAGCTGTGCAGAAACAGTTTTGTCTGCCTCCATGTAGAAGCATTGGACACGATATGCTCTGTCAACTTTAGTAACAAATTGAGGGTGGAAGGATATAACAACTGTTGTTGACACAAATACACCCTTTGGATTCAATGAACGAGTACGGGCAACATTACAAGTATCGAATTGAAGTTCAATACCAGCTACTTGTCTTCCATGTTCGTCTGAACGGCAACCTTGCTGGTCAAAAAGTCCTTTAACATAAACATGCCCCTCAAATGGATTTTGGGTATTGAAGTTTACAGTAATTGATGTTGGGCCACATTCTATTTCGGGTTCACCTACAAGAGAGTTGTCGACAGGAATCGAGGCAATCAAAATTGCTTGAAGTGCTAAAATAACACCTATGGCAAATAATATTTTGCGCATTTTTCTAAAAAAATTATTTGTAAATTAATCTATTATTTCTTTACTAAAATAACTAAACTAAAATTTTAATATTAACTACGGTTATTTTGGAGTACGTGATAAGAGTGGAAGGAGAAGGCTTAGAGTTTAAGCTCTTCTCTCTTAAAGACCGGAGAAGGCTTACCTTTTTACCATCTTTTAACAGAAAATTTACATTTTTTTGTTTAAGATAAAGTTTACAGGGATTTTGATTTTAAAGTTGATCAGTATAGTTAAAGTTTATTTTACCTCTCCAATAACCGTATTTATTTAAAATAAAAATTATTAAAAATTAAAACAAATATATTTATGATAAGCTAAAGAAAATATTAACACAGCTCTTCCTTTTTAGTATTTGTGTTGTTGTTTAATTATCCTTTCCCTTTTTTAAGGCGTCAATTATATATAGCCATCCTCTCCTCTACGTAAAATCTTTTTCTTATAAAAATATTTTTATATATTTTCTTATCCCCACCCTCCCTCCCGTTCTTTTTTTACTTAATTTTTTTAATCGCCCACCAATAACGTTTTCTCTTTTATTTTCTCGCCTTTGCCCCTGACATGCATTCTTTTGAGAGATTTTACCAGCCAGTTATAAGCTTTTTTGTGGGAATCCATAAACGGGTCGTGTCTATAGCCTAAACTACTTTTCCAAAAAATAAATAGCTTAAGATATATATATTATTCTCTTTTCACACAAAAAAAAAGAAATTAAAATAAATATAAGCGATTGAAGGAGAGAAAAGTTTAAAATTAATGTTTGCCCTAAAGCAGTGCAAAATAAAATATATTTTTACATGAATGAAATATATTTAGAGGAATACTAAATAAATAAATAAACTACTTTTAAAGAAGTAAAGAGGTAAGATTAATAAATATTTTTTGTGTATATGTAGATTAAAGTGTCAAATATTTTCTTCTTTATAAATCTATCTTATAGTTATTTGATAAAAAAGAAATTCAAAGAGGATTTTCTGAACCTTTTAATTTGTAAAATAAAAAAAGTATACCCCCTGATTTTAGTAAATTGTGAGGCTGTGACGTTGTTAGTTTAGTGGTAAGTAAGGTCGGCGGCTGCAATTCAATCCCACAAGGGTTCGAGGAAATTCAGTAAATTTTTAGAATTTTATTTAATTTATCAAAATGCGATTAAAAGAATTTGCCATTTAAATCGGCAGCAATAGTTTTTTTTAATTTTTAATAGGCATTTTAACCTAGTGTGATTATTAGGAACCCTTCTCTTTTAAAAGTCCAAATTTCTTATAAATTAAAAGCCTTACACTTAAATTAAGTCGAACAAAAATCCTAGTCCCAAAATTTAGTCATAAATTATATTTTTTAATTTTATATGACAATAAAATAGATTATATTTTCATAATTTTACACAAAAAATTAAATATATATAAAGTACTTGATAAAAAACACAAAAAAATCCAAAATTAATTTTATTTTTAAATTTTTTATTCACGACGTAAATTCTCTAAACGAGCCTGTAAATCAGCATCAACATCACCCACATTATTATTTCCCCCGCTTCCACCAGCTACTACTGCCATTGATGCTTGTGGTTGTCGTTGACCGTCACGAGTAGCATTATTTAAGGCATCTGCAGCTGTCGGCAATTTATTTAAGTCTTCACTCATTTGAATTCCTAATTCATCAAGAACCTTTAAAAGAAAGAATAAATTTTGAAAAAATAAAAATGAAATTAATTTATAGGAAAAAATCTTCAAAAAATCCTAAATTTTGTTTTAATTTATTTAACAAGGGAAGGTTGCGAGGTGTCCGACCTAAAAACGGTCGAGACCGGGCTCATTCGATAGAGAATGTGCCCTTTCTAGCAAGGATTTTGAGCCGTTTTTGCCCATTTTTTGATCTTGCCAAGATATGGCCCTCCAAATTTTAATTAACTTTTCTGGGATGCCTTTAGTTTTACTCAACTTCTATGACAAAATACAACAAAATAAGAAGTCAGTTTTTTAAATTTAAAAATTAAAAAATACAAAACCTGTTGAACAACTTGTTCAGTCTCTTCTTCCTCGTCTCCCTCACCCATAGCATCGTCTATAGCGTCACTCATCATTTCTTCTTTCATTTCCATTATTTCAGACTGACGTTCAAAATCACTCATAATCTTTTGAATTTGGGGTAAATTAAGTTGTCTATTCATGCTACGCATTGCTCGAGTAACACCTTTCATTGCCTAATTTTGATTAAAAAATATTTTTTATTTTAAAAGAAAAATCAAAACCTGTGCCATAGCATCTTGACTTTTTAAAGTTTGAACTTTTAAAGCAACAGCTTGAATATTAGCCTTCATCATAATAAATTTTTTGATATGTTGTCGAGTTCTAACTAAGTCTTTAGCCATAATTCTAACAGAATCCTTTTGAATAATAATAAAAATAAATTTATTTAAAATAAAACCAACCATTTGTCCCATTTTTGCCATTTTTTTAATATCGGCAATTACTTTCTTCTCAGTTCCTTCTAAACGTTGACGTTCTCTGTCTAAATCTCTCATAGCTTTATCTAAAGCACGTTTATTTTGTCGAAGTAATTCTTGTGGTGTTTTACTCCGTCCTTTAATTAATTAAAAAATTATTTTTTATTTAAAAAATTACCAAAAAGAAAGTCCATCATTTTATTTAAGTCAAAAAGAATTTAAATAAAATAAATTTTATATTTTTGTAATTAACAAAGAAATCTAAAATTAATTAATTTTAACGGAAACAAATGTTTGAGGGAAGAATGACTAATTCTTTAAAAAAATTAAAAGAAAAATTATGAAATGCCAAACGAATTATTACCAAAATGAAATAATTAAAAATCTCCTTACTATTTCTTGATTTCTCTAAATCTCTAGCATTACTGTTTGAGTCTGACAGATTTTTGAACTGAAGGAGCTTTTCTGTATTTTTATTTTTCTTGAATTTTAAAATTCTTTATAGATTTATTGTATTGACAAAGAATGGTTGATAATGTTACTCCAAAAAAGAGAATTAAAACCAACGAATCTCCAATTGAAGATGAACAACCAAACAAAAAACCGAAACTTGAACCTACAAATAGTGTAGAGAATGGAGAAGTTGATGCTCCTGTATGGTGTTTAAAGAAGGCACAAGAAGAGCAACCAAGTAGACATTGCCCTTATCTTGATACAATTGATAGGTTTTTAATTTTATTTTAATTTAAAAATTATTTTTTAGAGGTGTACTTGATTTTGACTTTGAAAAACTTTGTTCAATTTCTCTTTCACATATTAATGTTTATGCTTGTATGGTTTGTGGGAAATATTTTCAGGTATTTTTTAAATGGAATTTTTGAAACAAAATAAAATATTTAGGGCAGAGGAACAAATACTCACGCATATACACATTCACTCGACACAGATCATCGTATTTTTCTAAACTTGGCTACTTTAAAGTTTTATTGTCTTCCTGACAATTATGAAGTTATTGATCCATCTCTAGATGATATTAAAGTATTTTTGTGAATATTTTTTTTTAATTTAAATATTTTTCTAGTATGTTTTGAAGCCAACCTACACTCCCAAACATATTAAATATATAGGGCAAAATACAAAAATGTCTCGTTGTTGGGACGGCACTCTCTACTATCCAGGCATTATTGGTCTAAACAACATCAAAGCTAATGACTACACAAATGTTATATTTCATGCATTTTCTCACGTTCCTCCTTTACGAGATTATTTTTTACGTGAAAGCAATTATTCTCATATAAAAAGACCTCCTGGCGATAAATTGGCGCTTTTGCCCCAACGTTTTGGTGAATTAATTAGAAAGTTATGGGATCCTAAAGCATTTAAGGCTCATGTTTCTCCTCATGAAATGTTACAAGCTGTTGTTTTATGCAGTGACAAAAAGTTTCAAATTATTAGACAAGGTGAGTTTTTTTAACTTTATAAAATTTAAATCATGAGGTTTAACTTATATAACCTAAATAATTTAAAAATTTTTTTGTTTTTAGGTGATGCAAATGAATTTTTGATGTGGTTTTTAAACACTTTACATATGGCATTGAACGGAACTGGCAAAACTTCCTCTTCAATTGTTTACCAAATTTTTCGAGGTCGAATGAGACAATACATGCGTAAAGTACTCCCTGTAGATGCTAGTGATGAATCAAGAAGAACACTTTCTGAGACAGAAGAATATAGAGAACAAGTTAAAGAACTTCCATTTTTATCTTTGGCGCTTGATTTACCTCCAGCTCCATTATATTTGGATGAAAGAATGCAAAATATAATTCCTCAAGTTCCTTTGGCACAATTATTGACTAAATTTAATGGAGTTACCGAAAAGGTTTTTTTATTTTTAGTAACCAATACGGCAGCACAACACAAAAATTTTCCTTTAAAATTTCATACTATTAAAATAATCATTCAATCAATTTAAAAATTAATTTTTAGGAATATAAAACTTATAAAGACAATTTTATTAAACGTTTTGAACTTTTACATCTTCCTGAATATTTAATTATTACATATGATCGTTTTCACAAAAATCAATGGTTTATTGAGAAGAATCCAACAATTGTTAATTTTCCTATCAGGTCTTTTAAATGAGTATATTTTAAAAATTCCTTTTTAGTAATGTTGATTTTTATGATTCTTTGGCTGAAGATGTTCGTGATAAACATAAATATACGACTTATGATTTAATTTCTAATGTTGTTCATGACGGAAAGCCTCAAACACAGGCAAATAAAGGCGATATTGCTGTTGATATTGGTCGATATAGAGTACAGTTAGTACACGAGGTAAACAATTTTTCGAAATTCATCTTTGGTTGTTGTTGGATTTTTTGTATATTTTAATTGTGGATTTCCTTATAAAGAATAAACATCAAATTTCTCCTTATGGGGAATTCTAAAATGTTTCAACTTTTTAAAAATAATCTATACTCAATAGTTTTTATATGTAGAATTTTAATTTTAGGGAACATCAAAATGGTTCGAATTGGAAGATTTACATGTTAAAGAAATTCTTCCTCAAACAATTACCTTGGCTGAATCTTATATTCAAGTAAATTTAATTGTTAAAAAATAATGATCTTTAATTTTTTAAAAAAAGATTTGGCGTTTAAATAGAAAAAAGACTAGAACAGAAAGAATGGGAGAAACAGAAGAAGAAATAAAAGCAGATACTTTATGGAAACAACAATCAACAAAAAATGAGAAAGGAGAAAATTTAGTTAAAACAGAAAAAAATGGAATGGAGATTTGATACTTTTTTTTGTTGTATAAAATTATTTTTTGATAATAATTTTTGATTGCAAAGTTTTTGGATATCTATTCCTTTTTTATTAAATAATTCTTTTTAAATTCTTTTTTACTAATATTTTTAGGAAATTATTTCTTAAATTGAGAGAAAATGAACGCTTCAAGTGAACTGGAAAATTACAAAATCCAGCTTCAGCAGGTTTATCTTTTTATTTTTCATTGTTGTAAGTAATTGATGTTTAATGTGCGCAATAGAGTTTGAATTAAATAATTGCGTCTAATTTAACAATGAACTTACATTTTTCCTTGAACATTCCATAAATATTCACCAGGAATTCTTTAAAATTTTTAATTTTCATCTATACAGGTGGAGGCAGCTTTAATTGCTGAACCGGATAATGAAGAATTAATTAAACTTAAAGAGGATCTCAATGAAATAATTATTCTTCAACAAGAATTAGTAACTAATACACCTTCAGAAGTTTTAACTACAAGTAGTTCTAGTTTGTCGAACAAAGAACGTTTAGTTTGGAAAGTAAGTAATCTGAAAATTTTAAAAATTAATTCAAAAAATAAAAGGTTGGTGATCGTTGTCTGGCAACAAGTAAAGGTGGACAAAAGCAGGTAGCTGTAATTGATGGAATTTCACAGGATAAAGTTGCTATTACTTTTGCAAGTAAATTTTAATTATTTTTAAAAGTTTAAGAATCTCGTGCTTTTCTATTTAATTAGGAAGATTTTTAGTAAATTTAGCCATTGTTAGGCCCACATTCTTTACAAAATCTCGAAATTTTTTAAATTATTCTGGTGCCTGCCCTTAATTATTTTTAAAAGAATTTAAATTTAAGCCATTTTTTATTTTAAAATTTAAATTTTTTAAAAAGATTCTGGCAAAAAAGATATGGTTCGTCTATCAGATTTGAGTATAGCGCCAATAGAAGAAAAAAAGAAATATATTTTTCAAACGGGAAAACAAAATGCAATGAAAAAAGAATGGCATTTGGAAAGAGAACGTCGAAAAGTTCGTGCACAGAAAAAAGAACAACGTCGAAAACAAATGGAAGAACAAAAGGAAGTTGAGAAAAATAAATGGAAAAATTTTAATGCAAGGGCTAATGCAAAGAATATGAAGGTAAAACAATTTACTAAATTATTTTAATTTTTTGAGGGAAATTAACTGAAACTTGACCACTTGATTAAGTCACGATTTGTGAAAACAAAAATTTAAAAAATTCATTTTTAGGGATTAAAGCATATCGAAGCAACAGGTTCAGCAGCAGACGGACCTAAAGGTCAAAAAGGTCCACCACGTGGCCTCAGTTCTTTGGACGTTTCATCTCGTCGAAATACTCAAGCTTTTGGTGCGACTTCACGAGGAAATATGGAATCCCTCTTTTAATTGGGAAGTGAGAAATTATTGGACAGAGATTTTTTGGGAGGAGGGATTTTTTTGGAGATTTCTTTTATTGTCATTTGAAATTAAAATTTCTGATTTGTATTTTATTTTCTGCTAAAAATAAGTGATTTATTTTAAATTGTATTTAAATATTAATTGAGGTATTTTTAAGTTTTTTCTTTCAAGAATACTTAAATAGTATTTTCTAAGTGTCCCTTGTATTTATGATTAAAAATAGGCATGCCAATGTTTTCATTTAGAATTTATTAGATTTCATTTTCCAAATCCAAAAATTAAAATATTTAAAAAACATAAATTCGTACAATTTATTTTAAAAAATTATTTTAAAAAAATTCATTATTTATTTAATATGGAGCTGCATATCCACCACCCCCACCACTTCCATTACCTCCATTAGTATTAACTCCATTTTTATTATTTCTCTGTTGTTGTGAAGTGCCTGGAGGTACTATCGTTCGATGAAAGGATTCTGTGGTTGTTGTTACTTCATATGTTCTGTCTCTATTTTTTCTATGAGAAGTGCCGGCAGTTGGTGGGGATATTGTTGGGGCTGTTGGGACATCCTCTTCATAAACACTTTAAAAGATTAAATTTCTTTTAAAATTATTTATTAAAATATCCACATACACATATTCTTCTTTAACTGACGGAGCACGAACTCGTGGAAGACGGAACCAAGAAAAGAAAGGAGGTGGAGGTGCTTCTGGTTCTGGAGGAGGGGGAGGGGGTTGTGCTTGGGAACGATAAAATGTATAATAAATTTCTTGAAAGCGAAGAACACAATTACACTATAAATAAAAGAAAAAATATTTTTTAGAAAAAAATATTCTTTTTTTACCAGAAAAATAGCAATAACAAAACCAATAATCCAACCAACCCAAATATCTCTAAAAAATATTTTTTTTAATCTTAATTATTTTTAAAAATACCTCCAATGATTTTTATATCCATTAATTCTTGAAAATGAATCAACTAAAGCCATACCAAATAAACCAAAAATTAACTTTAAAAAATTACTTTTTTTCTAAAATTATTTTAGAAAAACCATAGGTCTCAATAAAGGAGCACCACGTAAATTAATCATATAATAAATATAACACTAAAAAATTAATTTAATAAATTAATTTAAATATTTTTATTTTTTACAGATGCAAAACAAGCAGAATAACTGGAGAATGCTGCATGTAGTGAAGGAAATGTTAGCCAGGCATATCTCAATTCTGTTAAAAATATTTTTACAAAAATTTTAAAAGAATGTCTGGGATAATTAGGAGTTAGGAATTAGTTGAATATTTTTTCGAGTAACTTGTTGGAGATGAGGATATTTCCAAACTTTCAAAAATTATTCTTTTAAAATTCAATCTATATTCAAAATTTTCCAAACGAAAATCTACTTTCTTATTTCACTTTTTCTTATTTCTAATTAAATTCACTTTAATTTCCTCTTCCAATTCCAAAGATAAAAAAGTTTAGAAATAGGAGCCGAAGAATTCCCCGATTTTTCTAGGAATGATTGTTTGAATTCTATTTAAGTTCCATTAAAACAATTTATTTATTACCATCTGCATTTCGATAATTACAAGCCAAATGTGGAGATGGAGAAGGGGAATGCTCTAATGGAGCTGTACATGAACTAAATAAATAAAACAATTATTAAAAGAAATCTTAAAATTATTATTAAAAATCTACGCAAGTGAAACATTGCATAAAGAAAGAAAATATGGACGTTGATAGCCAGTTAATAACTATTTGAGAGGAACAAAATAATTATTTTTTTAATTTACATAAATTTTAAACTTTAATTGTGTCAACAAATATTTGCGTAACAAGAGCACCAAACATAAATATAGCTTTTTAAAATTATTTTTTAATAAATAAAAATTTCTCAAAAACATACAAATAAATCGAAATATTCTTCTTGTAATTAAAGCTATTTTACATTCTCCACAAGTTGCATAAACAACTTTTTAAATTTAATTTTTAATTATTTTTTAATTAATTTGTTAAATTTTACTTTTTCGGGGTTTTGTTGAGAAAAGCCTTTAATTTAATTAAAAAATTAAATTTAAAAAAATATTTATTTATTTTATTTACCAAAACATTAATTCACCAATAAGAATCTAAAAAATATTTTAATTTAAAAATAAATAATTTTCTCTTTCTCTTACAACAATAGGAGGAATTAAAAAGGCAAGCAAATAAAGGAGTGGATAAGAAACATAAACCTTTAATTTTAAAAAGTTTATTTTAAAATTAATTTAATTTGCCTCAAAATCTTCTGGTTGAAAGTTTGGTTTAAATAAATTTACATCTCGACAATAAAAAACTCTGTGGTGATATCTGAGAATTTAATTAATTATTCGAGTAAAGAATATTTATTTTTGGAAAGAAAAAACAATACAAAATTATTTTCATTATACATATTTTTTAAAAAATGTATTAGAAGGATAGAAAGTGTCCATCAATTAAGTTTTTGTTTTATTAAATACTTATTCTTGTCTCCTAATATTTTATATTCTTTAATATATTCTTAATTCTATAATTTATTAATTATTAATTTATTAATTCTTTAATACAAAGACTTTATTTTTTTATTTTTTTTAAAAAACTTACGGAAATACATTTGTAAGTCTTTAAATAATAAAATAATTAATTAATTAAATTATTAATTTATTTACCTTAAATAATACCAAAGTGCCCATAAAGCAGCTAAACCAACAATGTGGATTATAAAATTGGGTAAAAGAAAATAATTAATTTGAAATTTATTTGTAGTAGCAGATTCTGAATTGACACCTAAATGGCTAACTGATCCAAATTGTTCGGACCATTGAGGAGATGGCATTTTTTTAATTAAAAATTCTTTAATTTTAAATTAAATAAAAATTGAATAGGTAGGAATAGGTATTGAATAGGTAGGCTTCAATAGGTAGGCTTTGGAGAGGTACAGACGGAAGCCTGATATTCAGAATAGAACAATGGTAATCTATATCTAAACTTGTCTCTAAACTTTAAATTAAAATATATACCTTATTCCCCTTAAAAACTAAAAAGTTCAATAAAAACAAATTTTAAATCAAAATATTTTTATTTTTTAAAATCAATTTTTGCACAAAAAAGCGTTAAGTTAAAGTAAAAAGAACAATAAAAAATACAAAAGTTAGTAAAAAACAATGAATATAGTAAAGAGATAAGACTTTGATTTTTTAGTGAATTTAATGCGAGAGTAAGCAACACACACAAAAGTGCTTTTGATGCTCTTAAAAACTGGTCTTGGCCGTTAAAGTTTTTGGGACATTTTTTTTATAATATTTATATGTAAATATTATTATGTAGGATAAAAATATTATAATAATTATTTATTTATTTTAAAAAACAATAAATTTAAAAAAAATATTTAAATTAAAATATTTCCCATTGATTTTATAAAAATTTATTTATTTTTTAGACAAATCGAGGGAGTAAAAGAAAAATGGCCATAGAGAGAACAAACAAAGAGATTCTCGAACTTGTTATTTTTGTGATGGCTATTGATGTCCGATACTTTTAGAATGTTTGAGAACATTTTGACTACTTTAAGGCCATTCATATATATTTGCACAGAAAATATGGGGAAGGAGGGAAGGGATATTTAGTAGTAGTAAAATATTTTTACTTGTACATATATATTTTTAGAGAATATATATAGCAGATTTTTTTGGAAAGAAAAATGTTAGAAAAAAATAATCAACTAAATAATCATCTCTTTTTTCTGTCAATCAAAACAAATTTATATTAACCAATTATCTGGATAAAAAAATAAGACAAAAATTATTTTTTATAAGCTATCGAGACATAAAAAGGGAGATTATAGGGTAAGTAAATTTACTAAAATTACATACAAACTAGGTATGTAATCAAAGTGGGTAATATATTGTAGACAATTCTTTTAGATTTGAAAAAATTTGAAAAAAATCATCAAAAGAATATGTAAAAAATTTTCAAAAGAACCAGAATTTTATTTAAAAATGAGGATTTGTTTATCATACACGACATGAGACGTTGTGAACTTATAAATGTCTCTTTAGTTTACGAGCAGAGTTGGTTGGAAGGAAGAAGTTGAAAGATCAAGTTATATAAAGGATTTAGCTTGTCAAATGTTTTCGAATTATAAATCCGATAAAGCTTCAGCTAATTTTAAAAAATTAAAAATTATTCATTGACTAGATTAAAAAAATAATCAGATAGCATTTTACAGAATATTTATTTAATTAAAAAGCTTGGCGACGATTCGGCCGGCGGCGATATGGCATCGCGACAAGTCGGCCGGCGACAAGTCGGTCGCGACAAATCGGACTGTCCCATTTAAATTGACTATAAAAGCGATCTTTTAAATTACAAAATCAAACAATCTTCAACAACGGTTCACTCTTGTTATCGACGACAGTTTCTTCATTTGCGTTCTAGAAGGATGGTTAGGAGCAGAATCTCTTTCTGTTTGCTATGTATGTTGCTACTTCTCTCCAAGTTTTGCGATGCAAAGTAAGTTTCTCAAAACAATTTTGTTATAAAAGTTTAAATTGTATTTTATAGCAATAACACAGAGCAAAGTCAACAGGGTAATACTACAACGGGAGATGGGCTACAGAGTAATGGACATGACCAGGAAGAAGGCAGCGGAGTAGAAGTGCAGCAAGACAATTTCAACAAGAATGGTGAGATTAAGGATGAGACAAAGGACGATGGATCGAAAGTCGAAGTTGACGAGAGTGTTGAAGTTCAAAAGGAAGAGGTCAAAAGCCCTGAGAATGAAGAGCAGAACAAGGAAGAAGATGAGGCGCAGAAGGAAGACGTCGCTCCTGAGAACGAGGACAAAGAAGGAGTCGAAGTTCAGAAGGAAGAAGTCATCCCTGAGAAAGAGAACAAGGAAAATGGAGCCGACGGCGTCAAAACTCCCGAGAACGAAGATAAGGCCAAGGAAGATGGAACCGAAGTCCAAAAGGGGGAGGCCAGCCCCCCTGAGAACGGGAGCAAAGAAGATGGGGCAAAAGTTCAGGAGGAGGGAAGCTCACCTGAAAGTCAACAGAGTTTTTTTTCCTTTCATATTTCATATATTTCAGGTCTGTTTGAACCTGAAAACGAGGACAAAATTGATGGAGCCAATGTTCAAAATGAAGACGCCGAAAGCCTTGCGAACGAGAACAAAGAAAAAGAAGATGAAGTTCAACAGGAAGACGTCCAAAGTCCCGAGGACGAGGGTCAAATAAAAGAGGATGGATCTGAAGTTCAAGGTGAAGATGCCGGAGGCCCAGAAAGTGGCAGCACAGACACAACGTAAGAAACTCGATAAATTTTGATTTATCTTTTAATATTTCAGGTTTCTTCAATCTACTATGACTGAACCTTCTTTGAATGGGAGTTTTAATAACCAAACAAGGTAAAATAAACGAACAAAGTTTTCAATGACTAATTTTCTTTTGTTTGTTAGTTTTCCGCCAAGCAATGATACTTCGGATCCAACAAGTGATGCGCCCCCAGAACCGTCAGATTCGTCATCAGTGACGCTAATTGATTCTACAGAGCCAAATGAATCGTCAACCGAAACAACAGGACAGCAGGTCGGAACATCAACCCAGGAAACCAAATCAAGTGCACAAACAACAACAACAACAGTTGCAGCAAGTACAGAAAGTAGTGGCAATCTCGTTCTAATTGTTGTCATCATCTTTTTGGTTCTCCTGCTGATTGCTATTTTCGTCTGCTGTTGCATGCTGAGGAAAAAAAATCCGGAAGATGATAAAGATTTGGAGATGCAGGATCTAGCGTCAGATGGTGGTTCGTCTAAAACAGAAGGATCTGAGCTTGGCAAAAAAATAAAAGCCGCTGAAAGTGAGGTGAAGACAGAGGACAAGGAAGAGTAAAAATAACTTGTTTTAATTTTTATAAAATTTTCCCTATTTTTAGAGATGAAATGGAAACGGCGCTTGGACCAGGAACAGGAACCGAACTCTTCTCTTATTCTCCCGGATCTGATGACACGGCAATTTCAGTAAAGGAAAAAACAGCGGTTGAAGTAAGCAAACGTTTGGGAAGTGGGTCTGCTGCTGGTGGAAGGGGTAGTATGAAAACAGCTGTTCTTAGAGATGAATTGGAAGATGATGAGGCAGGGTTTGAAAATGCAAAGACAGCTGTGCCTGGAGAGGGAAGGTAAGGGAAAATATTTTTTGTAAAAATTTTAAAAATCAGAAAAACTTTTAGTGGAGCTACAAAAACTGCAGCCGCACCAGATGCCAAAGAATCGTCCGTAGAGGACAAAGAAGGAAGAGGAGGAGGGGCAAAGACAGCAATTAGTGGTGATGATACAACTGGAGAGGCAAAAACTGATGAAAAGAAGGAAAATGAAGAGGAGAAGAAAGAAGGAAAGGAAGAAGCAGCTGAGGGAGAGGAAGGCTCAGAGGAATAAAAGAAATTGTAGAAGTAATGAAAGATGTCGAGAGAATAGATGTAAAAAAGAATAATATTTTGTAAATTGTAAAAATTAATCTTTTCCTTCAATCTGTGATATTTGTAAAATATGTATTGTATAATATAAAGGGTATTGTATAATATAAAGGATTATTTTTAAACAAATGACGGGTTTTTAAATTTTCTTTTTCACCATGAGTCTATGCCGTGGGTAGGCCAATGTACTGCCGCACAGCAGACTAGGGCCATAGCGGAATTGAAATTTTGGTTAAGGGGGTAAGAGCGCTGACTACAAAATCGTTTAAAATTGGGTAGCGGGTTCGAACCTTTTCATGGTTAATTAATATTTTCTAATTAAATAAAATAAATTTTAGATTTTATTTAGAAAAATAAAAATTCTTTTTATTTAAACAAATTCACACATTTTTTGTAAAAGAAATAAATTAAAATTACCTAAATATATTTGAAATCATCAAAAACTAATTTAAAAATCAAAATCCCCAACATCATTATCATCCTCTCCCTCCTCCTCATCTTCTTCTTCATTAATTTCATAACAAAATCCATCAGTTTCTTCTCCTTCTTTTCCTCCCCCTCCACCTTCTTCATCATCAAAAAATGAAGAAATTGAATAAAATGAATTGAAAGAATTATTTAAAGAATTTTGAAATTCTTCTTTTATTAAATTATTATCTTCAAAAAGTTGTTCTGTCATTTTAATTAAATCCTCTTCATTTGTTGTTGCTGATAAATCCTCGTTTTTTTGTAAAAAAGAAGAATTTGTTGGGGTAGAATTTTCACAAATTTTAAATTTAAATAAACGATTAGAAGAAAGACTTAATTTTTCTAATAATTCTGCTTGACTATAATTAACACAAATTGAAGAAATACGTGGAAGTAATGAAAGTAATCTTTGAAAAATAAAAAAAATATTTTTTAGGAAATAAATTTGTGGCAGAATTTTTATCTAAAATTCTGATCCGAAAAATTTAATTATTAAAAAAACTTGGAACAGATGCCCAGTCTATTCAAAAGAACATACCCAAAATCCCCCACCCAAATCCCCCCTTACTTCCCAAAAATTTAAAATATTCACTCACAAAATAGACATATCAGAAGTTCTCCCAATTGGATATAAAGCAGATATTCTCGATTTAATTTCCATTCTTTGCATTCTCAAATCGTAAAGACGAGGCTTTTCAAATTGATAAAAACGCCATTTTTGTTTATCTAAATTTAATTTTAAAAAATTAAAAAAAATTAAACAAAACCTCCAGTAGATGGTCGATAATTGTGAAAAAGTGATGCTCGGACAGATAACTAAAAAAATTATTTAAATTTTATTTTAAAAGAATCCCTCAAAACTAAACATCAATCATATATTTTTCCATTTGATTTCTCTGTTCATAATTACTTGAAATAAGCACATCTAATTTAGAAATAATTTGTTGAATTTTAGAAATTGATTTAATTGAGGGACCAAAACGAGGTTCGTGTTCAAATAAATAAGAAGATAACTAAATTAAATTAATTTTTATTTGAAAAGAGAGTAATTTAAAAAATTTTAATCAATCACCTAAAAATACTATTTAGAAAAAAAACAAAATTTTCTAAAAATATTTGTTAAAATCGTTTTTAAAAAATCAAAAAATAAAACGACTTTAATTACAAAAAATTCTTGGATTTTTAATGCTTTAAAGAATAATATAAATATTTAGGTTGATTTTTTTATTTAAAAATTAAATTCTAACCAATTGTGGAGATATTGGAGATGTTTCAATTAATTTATTTAAATCATCTTTTGGAGGTAATGGACGTCCATAAATTCTTTTTAAATTAAAATTTAATTTAGATTCATTCTCCAACCATTTTTCTGTTGGTTTTTCAGCCCTTTTTGCATACATTATTTTTCCAATAAAATGAAATAATTCTAATTGATCTGAAGCAAAATTAGAAGAAAAGAAGGAAGTTGAAGGTTGCTGTTGAGAATTATTTGATAATTTTTCTAATCTTGAACGTTTTGCAGAATTTCCTTCAATTATTTTGGAATTTTGTTGTCTATAGTGTAAAAGTAATAAATTCATTGCACGTCTAATATCACCTATAAAAAATTTAAAATATTATTCTTAAAAATTTCTGTTGAGTTAGAAAAAGGTTTTATTTTTCTAAATTCGTGGAAAAAAATTTAAAATATAAATATAGTCAGAAATTCCTCATAAATAATTTAAAATTTAAAAAATTTACAGAAAAATTTACCAAAAGAAGAATTAGCAATATTTTTAACATCAATTCCTTGTTGAGAATTACAAAGTTTTTTGGAAGCTTTTTGAAGGGCATTAGTTAAAAGGGAAATTGAAATTGGATTAAATTTAATATGTTCAATTCCTAGCACATCCAAAATTGATTGAGGAAAACTTTAAAAAATAATTTCAAAAAAAAAAATAAATTTAAATTTTTACATTCTAAAAGGGCTAAGAGACCAACAAGAATCAACATTTGGAAGTACAAAAACAATTATACATCGAGAGAGGGAAATTTTACTAGCCAATAATTGATGTAGAAGTTTTGGTTCACTAAAATAAATTAATTTAATTTTAGTGAAAATTTAATTTAAATTTCATATTTTTAATTTAAAAATATTTTCAAATTTATTTAGAACCAAAAAATTCAGAAAAAAATTCTTTCGGTACTTTTGTGAATCAAAAAATTAAAAATTTCAACAAACTTTAAAAATTCGCTAGGCAATTGACTAATAAGTAATAATCGATGTTTTAAAGACATTCGTTGAATTGAACTAAATTGTGTATCATTCAAGAATTGTGCAAATCCCTCAGCAGAGAAAGAACGTCTTCGATTATTATTTAAATTATTACAATCATCTGTCCAATCCCATTCTGTTACTTCAATTCCCAGTTCTGCTGCAATAACCCTTACTGCTGTCCTTTTTCCAGAACCACTAGGGCCTGTCAGCAATAAAGTTTTGGATCCCTTAAAAATAAATTTTTAGAGAAAAAAGTTAAATAAATTTAACATAAAAAATACCAACTCGACAAATGCCCATCTTTGATCTAAACCATTGCTTTAACTATAAAAATTAAAAGAAAATGTTTGTAAAAATTTATTAAATTTTTGAAAAAAGTTGAAAATAAATTTAAAAAAACCTCATCAAGTTTCTTTGGGTGAAGAGCAAGTTCTTCCTCAGAATTAGGAACAATACAATCCAAATTGTTTAAGACACGGCTTCTTCTTTTAATAGGCTTCTTTAGTTGAAATGGATTAGAGAAAAAACCAGCCATTAAAATTTATAGAAGTTTTTAATTTAAACTCTGAACTTTCAAAAAGATAAGAGAAAGAATTTTTTAAAATTGTGAAAAAAAAATGCTGGAAATTTTAAATTTTATTTAAGCTGATTTTTCAATTTTTTTGGCCTAATGTATTTAACATATCCGTTTCGTCACAATAAAAATGGTCAGCCCTTTATAACTTGCGAGTTTGGGTAAACGTCAATTTAATTGATTTACAAATTTATTTTCCAACGTTTTAGATCCTCATCTTTATTGTTTCCAGATTATTAAAAATTTATCAAAATGACTGATGTTATGCGTGAAATGATAGCTCAGGTTCTTATATTTATTTTAAATTTATTTAATTTTATTTTAGCTGATGGGCCAGCAAAGGGCTGAAGAGGAAGGACGTAAACTACCACCTTTCGACCATCATTCAGTTTGTCGTTCTTATTTACAAGGTTGTTGTCCGAGAGAATTACTTTCGGATACAAGACTTGAATCAATGATGTCTTGTCGAAAAATGCATGAACCAGCACATAAGGGAGAATATAATAAAGCACAAGAGAAAAGGGATTTGTTCTACGACGTTGAGGTAGGCATTGAATAAAGAGATAGGTTGAGAATTTATTGACCCATTTTTGTGATTCGAGGTGTTCCCCTTAGGCAAAGCAGGATTTGACATTGCTGACGGGTAAGAAAAATTTAATTTTATAGCAAACTGAAATCAAGGGAGAGACAAGTGTTGTTGACATTTTCCTCAATCACACAAAGCATTTAGTGCGTCTGTATGTCAATTTTGTTTTTTGCGGCGCTCTAGCCTTTCAATGGGTCCGAATCATTAAACAAATTTTAGGCCTACGAAGAGCTCGAGGACGCAATTTGTATTGTGGATCAGGAAATTCGAAGACTTCAGGATAAAGTGAAAAGAGATGCTGAAAATAATTTAGACCTTACTGAGCAACATCGAGTTTGTTTATTTAATTTATTTACTTGAAACGATTTTTTTTAACTTTCAGACCCAAAAGATATTCGAAGTGAATGAGCAAATTGGAGTCGCTTTAGTCCAAATTGAGGCTCTTGGTAATGAAGGACGTATAAACGAATCAGTCGAGTTATCGAGAAAGGTGGACGAATTGAAGAAGAGAAAACGTGAACTTGACGTAAAATTTAAAATTTTATCAAAATATTTTTAAAAAATTAAGACTGAAATGAAAGGTGTATATCCAGCTATGCTCCAACGTTTGCGTGTTTGTGAAACTTGTAGCGCTCAGTTGAACGTTATGGATCATGAAACTCGTTTGCAAGATCATTATGGAGGAAAAATGCATTTGGGTATGGTACAAATTCGTGAAAAATATGCAGAAATGAAGGTTGAAGTTGAAAAATGATTTACTTTTAATTTTTTATTTAAATGAATCTCTTTAATTTTAAGAATTCAATTGACGAGCGTCGTACTTTAAAAAAGCTTGCTGAAGAAAAGGAGCGTAGTGAACGTCGTAGTCAACGAGGGCGAAGTCGTAGTCGTGAACGAAAGCGTTCTCGTTCACGCGAGAAAAAATCTCATCGCAGTCGAAGGTATTTTTATTTACCTTTCATCGAAATTTTTTTATTAATTTCTTAGCCGTTCTAAGTCTAAGAGTCGTTCGCATAAAGAACGTCGTCGTTCGCGTTCCCGCGAACGGAAATCGTCTCGTCGTGATTCGAGTCGTGAACGGTTTGTTTTTTATAACTTTTGTTTATTATTTTCTAATAGCCGACGTCATTGATTTTTGTATCGATGAAAATATTTTGATTGTATGATTTGATGTTTAGACAGAGAAATTATAAACGATTTTTCATTTATTTTTCATTTTTAAATTTTTCGATATTTGATGGTAAAATTGTCGAGTTATTTTTAACTTTTGATAAATTTTCACAATGCATTGTGTTAATACTTTTGAAAAATATTTGTTTAATATTAACTGAAATTTTATTATTAACTTGAATTTTTTTCAAAATGTACTAAAGTTAAAGTTATGGCAGCAGAGCAGGGTCAATTACGTTCAAGAAGGAGTGTTGTGAGGCCTACGGAATATTTAGCCCCAGAATTTGATGATGGATTAATTAGTGAAAATGAGCAAAAAAAGATTCCATATCATCTTTTGGTTTGTTTTTTAAATATTATTGATGCCAGCTATGGTGCATTCGTAGTTTTTTAGTTTCATTAACGATTCCTACTTTAATAAATATTAAATTAAGTCTGGTCAGCTCGGGTTCTTTCATTGGTTATTTGTATTCGCGATGTTGGCTGCATTATATGGACTTGGTCTGTTATTATGTTTTTCATTTTTTGTATTATATTTAAGTTGTTTTGCTTGATCTTAAAATGCCTGATGTCAAGCCAGCAAATCAATATGAACATTTTTCTGAAATGCGAGCCCGTCAATTTTTAACTCAGATAGCAAGTCTTGGGCCAAGACCGAGTGGTTCTGAGGCATTGGAGGTTTTTAAATTCTTTTAACTTTTGAATTTATTTTTAGATTCATGCTTTTCGAATTATTACCGAGAAAATTAATTCTTTGAAGGAAGTTGCTAAAAGTAATGATGTTAATAGAATTGTATGTTCTTTAAAATTTTGGTTTTTTTAAATAATGTTCAAGAGCGTATCTAGGGGTCCCTTTTAAATGATTGTTGGATAATTGACAAAAATGTCGATTTGGCCTATAAGCTTAAAATAAACTAACCTCTATTTTGAACTTCACACGATAATTTTATCCCACCTAGTTAATATTTTGTTTAGGAAATGGACATTCAAAGGCCAACTGGTTGTTATGACCTCAAATTTTTGTCTGTATTTACTCTTTGTTATCATAAAGTTACAAATATTGTTGCTAGAATTGGTCCAAAGAAAGGACCCACAGATTTTTCAATTTTAATTAATTGTCATTTTGATACCTTACCTGACACTCCCGGTGCAACAGACAATGCCGTTTCTTGTGCTATTATGATGGAAATTTTGGAAGTTTTTGCACATTTAAATGAGCCTTTAGAACATGACATTCTTTTCCTTTTTAATGGAGGTTTTTTTAAATTATTTTTATTTAAAAAATATTTTTTAAACTTTAGCCGAAGAGAATTTCCTTCAGGCATCTCACGGTTTTATTGTCAACCATCCTTGGCGACATTCTTTGAGAGCTTTTATTAATTTAGAAGGATGTGGTTCTGGTGGAAGAGAATTACTTTTTCAAGTTTTTTTCTTCTCTTTTTTTTGAAATTTTATTTTTAAAGACTGGACCGGGAGAGTCATGGCTAATTAAAACATATTTGGATAATGCTCCACATCCGCATTGCAATGTTCTTGGACAAGAAATATTTCAGTTGGGGATAATTCCTTCTGACACTGACTTTCGAATTTTTCGTGATTATGGAAAAATTTCTGGTTTGTCTGAAATATTTTTATTTGAAAATTAAAAATATTTAAGGTTTTGACATTGCCTATATTCGAAATGGTTGGGTTTATCACACAGAATTTGATCGTCCAGAATTGATTGATATTGGGGCGATTCAACGCTCTGGGGATAATATTTTGGCTTTGAGTCGAGCATTAATTCGTTCTCCTTATTTAAAACAACCAGCAAATTTTAATGAGGGCACAAAATGGGTTTTCCTGGATGTTGTTGGCTTATTTACAATTTTTTATGAAATGAAATTAGGTGAATATTTAGTTTAAATTTAGATTAGAGCTACGGACAACTCAAGTTGCGGGAATTGGAATTTAGGTGAAATATAGAACTTTCCCTGAATCATAGGTGAACAAGAATTGACTGAAGTCTTCTGAATCGATTTTTTGACAATTTAACAATTTATAATATGAGAGACACAGAAACCCCCTTTTTACTGGAACCTTAATTTATTTTTTAAATAAAAATTATTTAAGCTCTTATCTTCAACTATACTGTATTGGTGTTAGTTTTGTTTCGAATTTATTTACATCTCTTCCGTAACGGTGATTATTCTATTAATGTTTTATTGTGTGCTTCCATGAATCAATTTATGGCTTTTGGGGCTATGTTATTTATTGGGATTTGTTTAGTTTTAATTATAAGTCTATTAAATATGACAATGAGTTGGTATTCAATGCCTGAATTAGTATTTCCATTATATATTGTGCCAATGATGACTGCAGCTTTTTTTGCACATGCTCGTTCAGCAGGGAAAATGGAATTGGTAAATTTTGTTTAGTTTTTAATTTTAAATTTTATTATTTTTGGACTAAAATTAACTAAATATTAAAATTCCAAATTTAATTTTAAGGATATGGCTATGAAATTCGAAAAAGCACATTTTGATTCTACAATAATTTTTTGGTCTTTAGTTCTTTTTATACTTACTTGGATTCATTCAGCTAGCTCTTATTTATTTATGTTTCATGTTTTATTTCCACTCATTCGTGATCCTTTATTGTCAATTTCAAAAATTTTTGGATTTATTAAAGGTTTTTTAAATTAATATTAAATATTTTTAATTTCATTCTTTAAAGTTATAACACCAAAATCACTTTTTTGGGCTCAATCAATTTGTTTAACTCCTTTAATTATTCTAATTAGTACATATACACAATTACTTTTTGACTTTTTTGTTCCAGTAATGGGCCGTTTTGGAAATACAATTAATCCAGAAATTTTTATAATGTCCTTTTCTCTGCTGGTTTCGCTTACTTTTGTGCTTTTTACGGTTAGATTATTTTTTTCTATTTGGAAAAAATATTGTATTATTTCAGAATAATTTAATTTATGTAAGTCGTCGACTCGGTTTTATGGTAAAATGTATGATTGCTGTTTCTCTTTTTTGTTTTTTAATTATTTCAACAACAAATGTTGGTGTTCCTTATAAATATTCAAAAGAATCTCCTCGTCTTCGACGTGTTATTGCTTTGGTTATTTTTTAAATTAAATTTCGATTTTTTAAAATTATTTTTAAAGCATGCAAAGAAAAGTGTTTTTAAATTTGATGGAAATTTACTTAATTCTGAAACTGGTTTATTTGTACAAGCATTGGATTATAGAGGGGCTGATGATTTGCCTGAACATACTTTTTTACAAGGTTATTATTTTTAATATAAAGGTTTAATTTGTTTAGTCAATTTTTGAGTGAAGGTCATATGTACATATGACAGATTTAATTTGAAAAAATTTGATTTCACCATAGAGCCTCCATTAAGTTAACCATAATTTCTAATTTTAGTGTGAAATTCATATAAGTAAGTATAGCTCATGGATTTTTTAATCATCAGGTCTAAAGTAAGATAAGTATCCCGTCAGTACCTTTCAGCCGGCTTTTCTAAACTTTCTGGAGACTCAAAATTTTTTAACAAAAAACTTTAAGGTGTTGGGAAGCCTGACTGTTCAAATACAACTGATGAATATTGTCAAATGCCCTATTATACTGCAATTCATCAACTTTTCCCTCCCGATCGTTCTCGATGGGTGCCACTACCAACAGAACCTCCAATAGCCCGACCTTTAAATGTGAAATTGTTGGAACGAAAATTTCTTTCAAATAATATGCTTAATTTAACAATTGCTATTTTTGGAGGAGTAGACAAAGCATCTTTACATATAACTCCACTTGATGGTTTTCAAATGAGAAATTGGTCGTTAACAGCATTTAATCCAAAAACATATAGTAATCGACCGCATGCAACTTATTTTGTATTTATGACATACGGATATGAGGCGCCAAAAGAGAGAATTATTTGGATTTTGCTTGAAAAAAATGAAGGAAAGAAATTAACTTTAACCGATGTTGGAAAAGAACCAGCACTTGAATTAGCCGTAGCAACACATTATGTTCATGGTAAGATCTTTAGGGAAGAGGTTAAGGTTTACTTTGAATAGTGAAATTAGGTAGTAGCTATGTTAAGATTAGGTATTGCTACGTGAACGAATGTGAAAGCACCCCTCCATATTTACAAAATATTAAAAATAAATTAAATAGGAGCCAATCAAAATTCGGATACTCTTCATCAGCTACGCTCTTTAATTGCCAACCGAAGAGAGAAGCCACATGCTGGAGTTGGCTTTTGGCGTTGGGGAATTACACTGACTGCTGGAGTTTCTGAAATTGTTGTTCACTCCTTTTAATTGCCAAATGATTCGTAAAAAATTTTTTTAGTTTATTTTTCTATTTATTCTTATTGAATTGAAATTAAAGTCGGAATTTTCCAAATTAATTATTAAGTCCTTTTTCACTATCATAAAAATATGCCAATAAGGGTTTTACATCGTCCAATAATTTCATTAAAGATTTCAAATTCCGACATTAATTTTTACTTCTCAAATGGTCAGTATTAGACAATCTTTATTTAATCCAAATTAAAATTCACATTAAATTTGTCTGTTCATTATACGACATTCACAGCTCCAAATATCTTATTCTAAATCTCAACCTATTTAATCAGGCCCGTAGCCAGGATTTTTTTTCGAGGGGGGGGAAATTTTTTGCGCCAAATTTTTGGCGCCTTCGGCGCCAAAAATTTTTATTTTTCAGCGCCGCAGGCGAAAATTTTTTGAATTTTAGAAGGCCGTAGGCCAAAAAAATTCACTTTTTCGGCGCGGCAGGCTCCAAAATTTAGATTTTCAGCGCCGCAGGCGAAAATTTTTTGAATTTTGAACCTCAAGAAGCCAGATTTCTTCCATTTTTAGCGCCGCAGGCGAAAATTTTTAAAATTTCGAAAGCCGTAGGCCAAAAAAATTCACTTTTTTTGCCCCAGCCCTTCCCCAAATTTTTCCCTTTTCCCCATTTCGGGGGGGGGGGGGAATTCCCCCCCTCACCCCCCCCTGGCTACGGGCCTGTATTTAATGTATTTGTTAGTTTTAAATCCTGCTGTTTATATAACCTTCAAATAAAGACCTTTAAAGTATCCTTTTTGTAAGACTTTTCTGTCAAAATACGAACATCAGTTTATGATTCCAATTGGGTGATATGGTGTAAAGGTCTTTTATAAAACATTTTAGTTGTGATTTAATAAACTGGTAATTACTTTTATTGTCTTTTATATATAGGACCTAATTGAGTTGACAGAGTAAAACGTATAAAAGAAAAAAATCAGGTATGACAAACATGATGTAATAAAAAGATCATTAAAAATTTTTATTTTTGGATTATAACAAAAAAACAACAAAAATAACATTTATTTAAATAACCAAATTATCTTCATCAATAGTCAAATTTGCCGCATAATCATAAATTTCAGCATTAATTTGCACAACTCTGGCTAATTCCCTTTCTAATATTTTTATTCTCTGTTTTAATTGTTCAACATTTGTTGTAGATTCAATTGAAGATAAATCAGCACTTTCCACATTTTCTTCCTCTTTAAGAGAATTTTCTGTTGGCGTCAATGTTGTTGTTGTCTCATTTTCTACTTGACGTCTTTTCCTTTTATTTTTATTCTGAAAATTAATTCTACTTTTAAAAAAATATTTAAATAAACCCTCTTACATTTAAATTATTATCTTGTTGTTGTTGAATATTATCTTTTGATGTACCCTCAACAGAAGATTGAAATTCACAGCGCAAAGCAGCAGCGTTTGCATTTCGAAGCAATTTATCAAAATGTTCTTGTAAACTTTTCTGGTTAAAAATTATATTTTAATTTATTTATCATTAATTACCTCACAATAAACTTTATTTAGATTTGCATGTTTTACTGCAAAATTTGATTTTGATCCAGTAGACATTTGCTTGTTTAGAGGTGGTAAAGAAGTTCCAGCGGCAGAGAGATTCTCCAAAATAAAAGATAAAACAATAATTGGTCCTGAAAAAGTATAAAAATAAATAAAAATAATAACACAAGAGACTCGAATCCTTAACCTAGATATTAGTCAACGACCTAAGAAAAACTAACAACGCCCACTTTTTCGAGGTAACTTATTCCAGATAAATTATAAAATTTCAAAACCTTTCATTTGTCCGTTCTGTAAAAGTTGCCCGTTTGTCACGTCCCAAATAGCATAAGCACCTGAACTGTCTCCAGAAGCAAGTCTACTCCCATCTAAATTTGCACATAATTGTTGTATTCGAGAATTATGAAATTGAAATGAATTTTCAGTATTGTTATCTTTTTGTTCATTTTCGACTTTCATTCTTTGGAAGCTGTCTTTGGGAAGCTGAAAAATTAAATTTTAATTTACATGTCATTTTTAAAAAGGATTAACGATTTAATGAGGTAAAATAGAATATGACTAAATTTTAATTTAGGTCAAACATATCATGTTTTTCAAAGGAAAAAGGAAATTTTATCCCAGATCTAATTAATAAAAAAATTTGAACAAAAAACCTCAGACTGCATCAAATCAATTGTTCTAATCTGACCATCAATTGATGCCAAAAATAACCTCCTTTCCGCTCCATCCATACAACAAGCATTTAAAGGATGATCACAAGTAATTTTTAAAAGAATTTGATTTGTAGCCAAAGAATAAAGACAAGCACTATAATCAGAAGAAACAGAAAAAATACGTGCAGACATTCCAGAAGAAGTAATATATAAATCGTTGACTTCTAAAGTATGGCTTGAATGACCACCTAATTGTGAACAAATATGAGAACTTTCATTGCGTTGAGTGATTAAACTAAAATGTTTTTATGATTCAACAAAAAATAAAGAAAAAACCTAGAAGTTAGCCAAACCTTCACGGCACCATCCATAGAAGAACTTGCCAATAAGCTACCACAAGTAGAAATTCGGAAAGCAGAAATTTCACGCAGATGTTCGTCAATTATAGAAAGCATATTTCCACCTCTAAGCTATAAATTAATTTTTAAAATTTAAAAAATAAAAACCAAACCTCCCAAGTATAAATTTTGTTGTCTGCCGCAATAAAAATAAAATCACCAGAGGGATGAGAAACAATAAAATTGGCTTTAAAACCAAGAAAAGATCGTGTAGAATTAGCAGCTAAATTTTTCTTTGATTTTTTATATTTCATTGGAATTGTCATTAATGATTTATCTTCCAAAGAAATACATAAATGTGTTTGGTCTTGACCTGAAATTGTTTGAAAATTAAATTTAAATAAACATAAAAAATTAACCAATAAATGTTGCTGAATTTATTGTTCCATTTTGAAGCTCATTCCCTTGAAAAGCCAAACAATTAGCTCCAGAAACTGGATCTATAGTTAAAATAGAAAAAGGTTCATCTGAGCGTGCACAAACAAAAAGAGACTAAAAATGACAATACCTAATTAAATAACAAAGAATTAACCTCCTTATTCATATTTAAAAGTATTAAAACGGCAAATAATGCAATAAATCTAAAAATTAAATTTAAATCAAATTTTTTCATAAACGATGGAAATTAGAGATCGGAACGGGTCCCGTTTCCCGGTTTTAGTGAAGCAACCGGGATCGGGAATTCCCGGTCCGGGTCCCTCCCGGACAACTTTCAGAATCCGTTTCCCGGACCCGGTTTTTTCAAAATTTCGATCTCTAATTTAAATGTTTATTTAAAAATCAAATATTTCTGGAACTAATCCATATATTCGCAAAAATTGTAAAAAATATACGGTTGTGGCAAATTAGCCAAAGTTTATAAAAATCTCAAGCCTTAACCAGGTCAAAACAAATGCAAATAAATTATGCGAAAATAATTTAACTGGAAAGTCAATGAAAAAATTTGAAATATTTTCTAAAAATAAATATTTATTTCTCCAATAAATCAACAACTTTATTTCGTCTTTCCAAATTCTACTCCTTCATAATTGTAATTCTAACATAGAAACTCTCTTCATTACAAAACGAGAATTTAACCGTTGGATCGTGAATGTTGACAACTTGATAAGTAGTAGATTTCTTATCATTTAATTTCTTAACTTCAACATTTGTCGCCTTGTCGTGTAATTTAAGGCTTTCGCAATTAGAGAAATCTAAAATTATGATAGCTACCATTTTCGAAACGTCTTTAGAGGTTGCCACATACTGAAAATTTTTAATTTTATTTTTAACTCTGAGGTAGTCCACCCATGGAGACCTACACTCTGAAGACCTATAATTTTTGACCAGTGAGTTTTTTCGTGGTGTACAAAATGGTCAGATTATTTCCAGATAGGGCCGAATGATGCTTCAGATAGAATAATTCGCTAGATTTTTGCAAGGGAGAAAAGTTTGACAAGTTTGTTCATAAAAACCGTGGAGGGAAACTGCATAAGTTCCTTTATCACCTCTAAATCCCTCGATATTCCCTTTCAAACTTTGAGGATCTTCAGGGGTGTAGGTATTCAGGGTTGACCCCAGTTAGATAACTTACTTCAACAATATGATTATAAACATTTTTGTAGAATCCTGGAGTACAATGGAACATCACATTAACCTTTCCAAATTTGTCTCCCCCATTTAATAAAATTTTAAACAAATCATCCTTATATTTCTTCATAGTGTCATCACCCATTGGTTGAAAAGAAATTCGATGATATTCACTAGCCAAATTATTCAAAATCAAACGCATTAAAATTCCAATATTGCGGTTTTGAATAGAGATATTGCAATTTTGAACATAAAATTGTTTAGCTTCCCCAAATAATAATTCAATCAATTCTGGATTGATTATATAGTCTTCAAAGTAGGAGCATTTGAATGAGCACTTAAACAACTTATTCAAATAATGATAAACGATTTGAATGTCCTCTTTGCTTTTAATAATTGATGAAAGTCGAAGTACATATTCTTCACTTTTGTCAACTAAAAGATTTTTTATGTTAAAAGAAAATTTAAAAGCTATCGGACTCTTCGAAAAAAACTTTAAGGTAAACCAAGGTTTAGGGTTCACATTTTTTCTTCCCCAATTTTTCCCATATATATGTACAGAATGGTCAGCCTTTTTCCTTTCTTGCATACCAGTTGCCGGTACTTATAGTAAAATAATTCAACTAAAACTCAAACTGGGAGGGGGAGAGAATAAGTACCCCAATTGCCTTTCTAGTATAGTTTGAAAATAGAAGAACCATAGGAGGTTGCAAATTTCGCCCAGTAAGATTAGGAAAGAAGCCAAAATTAAAAAAGGAAAACACAAAAAACCAACCCCCTCGACGCCCGAGAGTCCCGCCCATTTCAATTAGGTTTACCATTTAACGAAAAATGGGGTTTTAGCTTTATTTCCGAAATATGGGGGAGCCGAGAGCCAAGGCGATTCTTGGGGTAAAAAATTCTAAATCTAAAGAGTCCGTCAAGAAAATAGAAAGCAACATTCCTTGTCGTCCTGACAAAGGAATGCCTTGCGCCAAGAAGACCCCAACCATTTGAACGAGTTTTGGAAAATAGAATTTTCGGTAATAGTTAAGTTTGTGTTTCCCTTTTTTTTCTTTCGGCTGTAGTGTAGTGTACCGAGGTAAAAGTTCGGGACGTGGCATGTCATTCGATCCGTCTCGACGAGCTGAGTCAATGGTACCACTGCCAATTTCAGGAAATAATTCTGGACCGAGTTATATTATACCAAAATCGACCTTACTCCCCCCATGATTTGTCAATATTTCGGGACCTATAACTCGGTCCTGAATCATTTTCTGAAATTGGGAGTGGTACCGTTCGACTTAGCCCGTCGAGACGAATCGAATGGCATATGTCACTTCCCGAACTTTTACCTCGGTTCGGGAAGTGACTACAGCCGAAAGAAAAAAAGGGGAAACACAAACTTAACTATTATCGAATTTTCCCCTCACCAAAACTTTTACCCATTTTTTAAACAAAATTAAACCTTTCTCCAAGAAAATATCAATTTCGCCTGTACCATGACCAGATAAAAACAAAGGAATTGGCTTTTTAAATCCATTTTTGAACTAAAAAAGAAAAAAAATTGGTAAAATTAAAATTCGTATCACCCACTTATTTCTCTCCTCTAAATGAGTCGGTTCTGGCCCAAGGCCTGGGTTTTTTATTTACCCAGTGGGTTTCCCTGGGCCTAAGTTTTTCATGGACTACAGGCCCAGGGTTTCCAAAAATCTCAATCTCTAATACAAACAATTTTACCAGGTAATTTGATGTTTAAAAATTTAAAAACCTTCTCTTCAATTTCCTTGGTCATTGGAAAGTCAAAATCTTTAGCCTTTGTGTTAATCAATTTACGAGGAATTCCATTGAATCCACCAATATCACCCTTAAAAGAAATTTTTTTCAAAATTAATTAAAAAAGGAATTACAAGACAAATCATAGTAAACTTCTCCTTAGCAAGTTCCCCCTCATATTTATTAACAAAGTCACGCAGATAAACATTTGTTTGTTTGAATGCCAATAATTGTTGATAGCTGAGACATTTAAAAATGTCAAGCTTAGTTTCAGAAGACAAAGAATAAAGCATTTTTTGAAAGAAAATTTAAATAAATAAAATACTAGAAAATTTAAAAAAATGTTTAAGAGTTTTTAGATTATTTAAGTACGTAAGAATAAATTGTCTTTAAACAGCTGAAAAATGAACAGAATAATGTATTCCGGTCCGGGTCCCTCCCGGTCAAATTTCAGAACGCGTTTCCCGAACCCGGTCCCGGTTTTTTCAAAATTCCGATCTCTAAAAGACTCAATTATCCCAATAAATTCCAAAATGAAAAAATTAGGGTAGGGGACGATTCAGTATCGCCGATTCAGTATCGCCAATTCAGTATCGCCGATTCAGTATTGGCCGATTCAGTATCTGGGCTTTTTGGCCATAACTTTTTGCTGGATCAATATTATAGAAATTTTTATATATGATTTGATAGGTCTCGGGGTGCTGCATCTTTTTCATAATTGGACTGACCTGATCTGATCACTCTACAAAAAGTTATCTCAATCTCTAATACAAACAATTTTACCAGGTAATTTGATGTTTAAAAATTTAAAAACCTTCTCTTCAATTTCCTTGGTCATTGGAAAGTCAAAATCTTTAGCCTTTGTGTTAATCAATTTACGAGGAATTCCATTGAATCCACCAATATCACCCTTAAAAGAAATTTTTTTCAAAATTAATTAAAAAAGGAATTACAAGACAAATCATAGTAAACTTCTCCTTAGCAAGTTCCCCCTCATATTTATTAACAAAGTCACGCAGATAAACATTTGTTTGTTTGAATGCCAATAATTGTTGATAGCTGAGACATTTAAAAATGTCAAGCTTAGTTTCAGAAGACAAAGAATAAAGCATTTTTTGAAAGAAAATTTAAATAAATAAAATACTAGAAAATTTAAAAAAATGTTTAAGAGTTTTTAGATTATTTAAGTACGTAAGAATAAATTGTCTTTAAACAGCTGAAAAATGAACAGAATAATGTATTCCGGTCCGGGTCCCTCCCGGTCAAATTTCAGAACGCGTTTCCCGAACCCGGTCCCGGTTTTTTCAAAATTCCGATCTCTAAAAGACTCAATTATCCCAATAAATTCCAAAATGAAAAAATTAGGGTAGGGGACGATTCAGTATCGCCGATTCAGTATCGCCAATTCAGTATCGCCGATTCAGTATTGGCCGATTCAGTATCTGGGCTTTTTGGCCATAACTTTTTGCTGGATCAATATTATAGAAATTTTTATATATGATTTGATAGGTCTCGGGGTGCTGCATCTTTTTCATAATTGGACTGACCTGATCTGATCACTCTACAAAAAGTTATCACTGATAAACGACGTCACAGGCATAAAAAATCGGTTTTCACGCTGTAACTTTTTTTGTGATCATCAGATCAGATCGTGCCAATTATGAAAAAGATGTCGAATCTCGAGTCCTTTCGAATGACATAAGAATTATTTAAATCGGTCGAATATCAGGAAAGTTATGGCCATATACTGAATCGGCGGATACTGAATCGGCGATACTGAATCGGCTATACTGAATCGGCGATACTGAATCGTCCTTAACCGAAAAAATTAAGTGATTTTACATTTCGTAAAATATAAAGACAATATTTTTAAAATACATCTACTCAGAATATTTTCAAAACAACAAAATTAAGATTGTCCAAATGAAAATTAGTCATAAGAATAAATAGGTAATTTAGATTATTTTAGCAAATGATGTCTTCGATTCGCAAAAAACTTCTGGTAACAAGAGGGGATATTACAAAATTAGCTGTTGATGTTATTGTAAATGCTGCAAATTCTTCCCTGCTTGGAGGTTTCTTTCTTAAATTTCTTAATTTAAATTTTATAAAAAGGTGGGGGAGTAGATGGTGCTATACATGCTGCAGCTGGTCCAGAATTATTGGAAGAATGTAAAGGACTTAATGGGTGTAAAACTGGTGAAGTTAAGATGACTAAAGCTTATAATATTAAAGATGTTAAAGGTTTATTTTAAAGGCTTTTTTGTCCTTATTAATTTAGGTAATTGTTCGGTTTAGACCCCCCACTCATTTTTCTGACCATTTTTTCATTTTTCCTTCTCTTTCTCCCTTATTTTTCATAAGGCAAGTATCAAAAAGGATTATGTATGTAAAGTTCAGAATGGGAAAAGTGATGGAAAAACTCATTTACATCATTCAATAACCCAATATCGAGCAACTAAAAATTTAACATGATTGCTTCGGGTGACAACAAACTGAGATTAAGCGACAAAGATTTTGATGCTTGGCTCGAAGAGCTTGGACTTATTCATGATAAACGAACATGTGAAGCATGTGGTACACTCAACCATTACAATTTGTAATTTGAGGAACATATTTGGAGTTAGACGATATTTCATTAATCGTTTATGTGTTTTGGGGATTTTTCTCAAGTCCTTTTTGATACTTGCCTCATGAAAAATAAGGGAGGAGTAGGAAAAATTAAAAAATGGTCAGAAAAAAGTGTGGGGGGTCTAAACCGAACAATTACCTTAATTTATTTTTAGCAATTATTCACACTGTTGGTCCAATTATTAATTTGGGGGTTAGTGATTCGGATAAGCAACTTCTTAGTAATTGCTATAAGAATTCGATGGATCTGACACATCAAAATAAACTAAAGAGCATTGTAAAATAAATATTTGATCTAAAAATATTTTAAATTATTTTAGGCATTCCCTTGCATTTCCACAGGTATTTATCACTTTCCGAAAGATGAAGCTTGTCAAATTGCGTTGACAACTATTGTAATTTTTTAAAATTATTTTAGTGTTCGATTTTTCTTTGAATTTTTAGAAGAATTGGTTCAAAGAAAATGAAGATTCTTCAATTGACAAAATTATCTTTTGCGTGTTCAACGAGCAAGACGAGGAAATTTATAAGGAAAATATTCCCAATATTATTGGAGAATAAACAGAAATTAGAAGACAAAAGTATGGTTAAAGTTACTTAATTTATTTTTAGATTGTATCCAAATTGGATTTTATTTTGGTATTCTATAATTTATTAAATTATAATTTTGCAATTTTTGATATAAATAATTAAAGATATTTTGTTAAAATACAAAATTTAAAACCAAATATCCCGTATATTCTAAAAATCATCTAAATATGTCTCTTCAATATTTTCATCACAAACTTCATTTGCTTGCAAAAATGTGAGGGCAGAGTTTAATGAATACATTAAACGTTTGAATTCTTCCAACTGTTCATTAAGTTGGCCTTGTTTGAGTGCTAAAAGTCTTGCTAGAGATTCATCTTTTGCTTTTAAGGCTAATTTTTGTTCATTTTTGCATTTAATTACTTCTGAATGAATTTTATTAAATACAGAGTCAAACCAATTAAGTGAATTGAAAAAGAATTGTTGATTAAGTAAAGTAAGAACATACGCGATACCTATAGATAAAAAAATGAATTAGGAACTTATATGGTTTAGGTGCGCTTTTTTTAGCCACGCCCTTTTTTCCTTTTCCATCATCAATCAACCTTAATATGGACAGAATGGTCAGCCTTTTTTTCTTCCTCAATTTCACTTAACTTTTCCTGTGGCATTTTCAGTGAGAGACATTAACAAGGAAAAGATTAATTTTCCTTTCCAATGCCACAAAATAGAATTAACATTTGAATCAATATTCTTATTTTTAACTATTTCTTTTATTTAATTAGCAATAAGTATGCCGGGTCTGCGTCTTGAAACTAATGGTCCGGTATTTTATTGTGTTTTCCAGTTTTTTCGTGTTTAAAATCATATTTTTTTTACAAAATGCTGACCGTTTTTACCCCTTTTTAGAAATTTTTGGCCCCCTGTAATTCAGCTCAGAGATCTCTCGGACCGATTTTATTGCCGTTCGTCTCGTCCCAGCTCGATAATGTCATCTGAGTCAGCTCTATCTTAAACAAAAAATTGACCTCAACTCAATTGATTGATGGTTGAGAGGGAAAAAGAGTGGAAGAATAATGATGGAAAAGGAAAAAAGGGCGTGGCTAAAAAAAGCGCACCTAAACCATATAAGTTCCAATGAATTATGAATCTTATTAATTAAAAATAAGGAGGCTATTGGACTGGTTAAAATCTTCACTTATTGTACGCATATCAAAACCTTCATTATCAGCTTAACAAAAATCCAATAATGAGTAGGACGAACGAATGTCTTTAAGATAATGGGCACTAATATTCAGCTAGTTGAACCTCTACTAAATATTAAAAAAATACCAATACTAAATCCATCTTCAACAAAAATAAACTGTTCATTAAAACTCCCAGCAACAGCCAAATCTTCATTTAATGATATCTTTTTGTTACTTAAACGAGCTCTACATTTAGAAATATATTCAATTTGGGCAATCATAAGTGTTGGGATTAAAATAAAAAAATCTCTTAAATGAGCAAATTTATTATTTCCTCGAAATTCTCTGGCAAACATTGAAGTTAAAAGCTTTAGAAAAATATTTTTTTTAAAAATTATTTTTTAAACCTCAATAGAATCATTATTTGAGGTTAAATAACCAGTAATATTTGAAGATATTTTATCACATAATTTTGCACAATTATTTTGAATTGAATTTTTGTCAAAATTATTTATTAAATCAGACATTAATTCTTTATGTTTAAATCCAAAAGTTATATTTGGTGCAAAAGTTTCCAAAATCCCTGAACGAAACATACGCAAAAGTCCAATCATATTTCCTATCCTAAAGAAATATTTTAACTTTATAAATGCTGCGTATTTGAAAAGTTATTGGTAGCCATTAATGATTACATTCTCATTTTTAATTACTAAAATAACAAACCTTACTATCAAAATCTAAAATAAAAAAAAATTTTTTTAATAAAAATTAAAAAGAAAACAAACCCTTAATCTTTCAATAATATTTAAAGAAGGTCCACCACCAATTTTATGGCAATAACGTTTCAAACTATTTGTCATTTTCTCAGCTCTTTCCATTGGATACATTTGTTCTAATTGGTCGATAGAATCTCGATAAAAACAAATTTCACGAATTAGTGTTGATTTAAGTTTTTCATCAGAAAGGCAGCGAGAAAGAAGTTGAAATTGAGAACGCATATATTTATATGAAGTATTTATCTAAATACATATAATGGAATAAATTATAAATTTAGGAGGTTTGAGAATTGTGCGAGTGGACATACATATACACGACTTATATAAAAGTTTTGTATATAAAAATTTTTTTACCAAAGGATCTAAAATTCCAATTCCATGAGTTTTGATTGAATTAACAATTTGTTGTACTCTAACAATAGCCAATTGTTTGCTTTGACTTGAGCGTTCAATAAAAAACTAAAATGTCTAAAATTATTTTCTAAAAAATAAAACTTGTTCATCGAGATCATAACAATAATCCTCCAAAAACTTACTCATTCTCTCTTCACTCATTAAAGTAATTAAATCTAGACCTAAAAAAGAAATTAAAGAAAAAAGTTCAAAAAATTAAATAAAAACCTTGATCAACACATCTAGTTGGTAATTGATAATCTTCTAAATTAAACCCGTAACGATGTTTAGCTAAAATTCTCATTCGATTATAAGCTTCAGAATCGTGTAAAGCAATAACAGAAAAATTATAAAATGTAGAGGATAAATAATTTGTGACATAATCTTTAAAAAAGATTTTTCAAAAAAATTTTGTGCTAAAGATTCTTCAAAAAACTAACCAAAAACAACAATTATTCCATTTCCAAGTTTTATTTTAGGAATTTGAAGTAAATTTAACAAAAGTTTATTTAAAGGTTTCTCTTCTTGTTGTAAAGGATTATGAGAGGAAAACAATTTTTCTAATTGTTCAAAGGAAGAACTTTGTTGTTGATGATAAGAAAGTCTAAGATCATTTTCAATTTCAGTACAAAGTTTTGAGAGAAAATTCTAAAAAAAATTATTTTAAAAAAATAAAAGAAACACACAAACATTTGTAATAATTAAAAACAATTCATTGCTAAATGTTTGAAAAAAAGTTTGTTGATCACAATGTTTGACAGAAATTATTAACCGACCACATTCATTTATTGCACTGAAAAAGTCCTTAAAAATAAGAATATTTAAATAATTTAGAATTATTTTTACAGTTATAGTTCTAGGTAAATCATCATTCGAAGAATCAATTGTTTGTTCCTGAATTAAATCTTCACAAAAAGCTTGCATAAGTGAAAGTCGATGCCAATACAAAAAGGAAAGATCAGTAGAATTTGAAAGTACATGGCCAAAATTGCAGAGAATATCGAGTTTTTTCAGTGTTTCGTCTATTTGAATGTCATTTCCTCGAAGTGTTTTCTGAAATATTTTAAACAATTAATTTAAGGAATTTCACTCCGTTGCCTTAAAATATTTAAAAAATAAAACAAACTTGATAATCTGCCAATTCCAAAGATACTCCAGCAACAATTAATGCCTTTCTACCAACTGGCTGACTTAATGAAATAGCAGAATTTAAAATTGAATTAGCAAAGAATGGTTGTTTAGATTCTCCATTTGATTGAATAATTGATTGTAAAATTGAAAGAATAGAAGTAGAAAGATAAACACAACCATAATTAATTGCTTCGATTATAAAATTCCAATTAGAGGTAAAGGTATTTGAAATGGTCTAAAAATGAATAAAAAGAAATTTAAAAAATTTTTAAAACCTTAACAAATTGAATAAGCACAAATATTTGCCTAACATTAGCCTTAGAAATTGGTTTTTGTTCAGCCAAATGAATATTTAAAATATATTTAAGTAATCTATTCAACTTTTCTCCCATATGAATACCTTCAATAAATAAATCACAGAATTTTAAATAATCAGTAGATCCATTTTCTTCGTCTTGCATTCTCTTTTGCCAATCATTTAAATTTAGTGAAAACTAAAAAATAAAATAAATTGAGAAGGTAATTTAAATATTATAAGTTTAAGGATGAGGTAATAAAGCAAATTTTAAAATATTTTACTGCTTTTTAATTCATCTCTCCAAAACACACTTCTGATTACATTTATATATTTAATTAAAAAATATAAAATTTAACTGTTTGAACATATTTGTAAAGATTTTCCAAGAGTTTGTTTAATTGACATCCTTTTGCAATTTCTATTGTAGAAGAAACTTTTCTTTCCACAACTTTACTAGCGCCAGGTATTTCTTTTAAAATAAAATCAAAAGGTATAAACAGCAAATCAGCAAATAAATGGAAAGAAATTAGATTTTTGTTTATTCCCAATAATTTAGAAATAATTTTTTTGTCAGGTTTTTGTCGTTCAGGTAATAAATGATGAAATAATTTAGATAATGCTAATAAACAAATAAGTCGCTTTTTATCAGGAATTGCATTTTCTGAAGAATTTATATGTTTTTCCCAATTAGTTAACATTTGCATTATTGCTAGTCGAAAACGTTCCATAAATTGGCGATCTGACGAAAGTTGGTCGAATCGTGTAAGTTTAATACATGTATTCTAAATTTTAAAAATAAGAACCCTAGTTTAATCTGTAATTTTGTCAGTTATTCAGTTCAAATTACCCCATGGACAAATAAAATATAATTACCGTCAAAATCTTCCCATTCATTAAAACTAAATCTAGTCTTTCAATTAAAGCATTTAAGTGTTGTAAACGACCAGTAGAAAGTCCTTCCAAATCAAATTGAGCTGGATTAAATTGCACCAAACGAACAGAACGTAATAAAACAGCCCAATGTTCACGAAGGAAAGGATGTGATAAAATTAATGCGTCAAGAACTAAAAAAATTTTATAATAAAATAATTTCAAAAGAAAACCAGCAAATGTTGATAAAAGTTCCCCAAGTGTTCTCCACATCCTTGTTAGTGACAATTGATCTGCCCGATGATTTTTGATTTCATTTCGACCAAAAGTTAAAAATCCATGGATTTGAAGTAATAAATTTTTAGTTAATTCACTCGTAGTATAGACAAACTGCTCAAGTTTTTGTAAAAATGGTAAAAACTCAACAATCGTTTCGAGAACCGGACTACCCTCATCCACTAAAAAAGAAATTGAAAGTATAAATGAAAATATAAAATATTTTACAAACCTTCATCATACATAGAAATTGATTCAAACAATTCCTGGGACGTTTGAATCAAATTATTAGCTGAAAGCAGAATGTCAGAAAAAATTGTAGTTATTGAATCTGTTAGCTGATCACCAGATAAGTCGAATGAAATGTTATCGAAAGTATTATCCGAACCACCCTAAATTTAACAACACTATGAGCTTAACGAAATAATTTACCTGACATTTCACATAATTATTCCCAATAAATTTACCCTTTCGCGAGTTTATATCATTCAGTAAACTTTCAAAATCCTGCAAAACAATCGCTCTAGAGCGAGCGTGTTGCATAGTTTCCATTTTCTAAACTTCGATTAAATCCTATTTTTAACTAAAAATTAGAGCTCGAACCCGGGCCGGGCCCGGACCGGTTTTTTCCGGGCCCGGTAGCCCCGAACCGGGTATTTTTGAGAAAATCCGGTTTTTCGGGGTTTCCGGGTTTTCGGGGTTTTTAGCCCCGAAGCCCGGCCCGGGTCGCATCTGAAAAACCCGGGCCCGGCCCGGTTCCAAGTTCGAGTAATTTTTTAAAATATTCTTACTTTTTGGCCAAATCTATCTCCATAAACATCCAAAAAAGCAAAAATTTTCGCCTGCGGCGCCAAAAAAGCGAAAAAATCTACTTTTTTACAACAAAATTCACAAAATTTTTGCCTCCGGCGCTGAAAAGCTAAGACGTAATATATCGAGGGATTTGATGGATTAAGGTGGATTAAGTGATATCGGGAAATTTCAAGTGGTCAAAATGAATATAATGGGATTTGGGCCTGATATCGAGGGATCATGTGTTGTCAAACCAAATGATCCTTCTAAACTTCGAGGTATTTAAGAGATAGATATCTATGAATTTATCAGGATTAATCACCTATATCCTTGACTTCCCTTTTATTCTTCCGATATCCCTTCGAATCCACTCATATCCTTATTTGTACCTGATATTGAAGGATCGAAAAGTTATCCTCCTCCGATTTAGCTTAAATCACAGTATTATTGATATCTATTACGTAAAAACTATTGAAAATATTCCTCAAAGATACTTAAATCGCTCCAAACGCCTACTTATCTAAATCCCTTTAACTCTCCAAATCCACCGATAACCCACTTAATTCTGTCAAATCCCTTAATAATCCGATATCTTTTTACATACTCCTGTATTCAGGATGTAGGTAAGAGATGACCTCAAATTTTTGATAAATTTCTATTTAAGGTAAGGAAAAAGCTAAATTTTAAGAATTTTTCTAATTTATAAAAAACCGGGTCCGGGCCCGGGTGTAGAAAAAACCGGGTTTTCGGGGTTTCCGGGTTTTCGGGGTTTTTAGCCCGGAAGCCCGGCCCGGGTCCGACCGGAAGAAAAAAACCCGGATACCGGGCCCGGCAAATTGAAAAGTTCGAGCTCTACTAAAAATGATTGTTTTGAATTCAAAATAAGAAACAAAATTTGTAATTCTTCAACAGTTAAAGAAAGGAAAAAGCCGGATTAGTCAGCTGAATGATTTTAATTTAATAAATTTATCATATTCAACATGAAAATTTAACAAAAAGGATTTAACAAATAATTATTCATCATCCATAAATTCATCCCATCTTACTTTGTCCTTCTTTCCTGTCCATTCTTCTTCTAATATATCATCTGCTTCATCAGAAATGCAAAATTGTTTTCCTCTAGTTTCGGCATTATATGTCCATTTTGGAAAAACTCTTTTGTATAAATTCATTAAAACTGAATCTTGCACACTCAATGGACGATCAAAAACACATTTCATCAAGCCATGAGTACCTAATGGTTGTTTAATGCGTCCATGCCTTCCACTATGTGTGTATAACTCAACGGGTTTAAACCACTCTATATCTTCTAAAAAACAAGAAATAAATAATAATATAGGTAGATAAAAAACAAACCTCTATTAAAGAACATATATCTCACAACTGCTGTCCGTTTATTTACTTTGAATGGATGACCGGAGAGTCGCACTCGTTTGAGAATAATTCTGTCAGGATTTGAATCAAGAACAATTCCTTTTGCAATTAATTGAAGTTTTTCAGGGGAACATTGCCGGAAAACTAAAACATTTGAGGGTGGAAAGGTGATTGGAGCAAAAACAGTGGCACAAAATGCTCCAGATGAAGGCATAAAACGTTCCATCTTAAAGTGTTTATGTTTGTAAAAATATATCCCAACTTAAAAATTAAACAAAAAACAAACCTTAAACTTCTGCCCATTTGTATGTTGTGAAAATACAGGATTTGCAGTAAAAAGACGACATCCAACTTGAAAGAGTAATTCTTCCTTATTCTTGACAGGTTTATTGAATGGTGGATATCGATGTAAAATCATATTTAAGGTAGACATTCTATGTTCATTTTTGAGTAGACCAAAAACAATTAAAGGAGATTGTGTGGAAGAAATATGGGTTTCTAAAAATAAAGAATAAATAAATCTTTCACTGTTTTGAGAAGTAAAAACTACAAACAATACATTTAGTAATTTATTTATCTAACCATATGAACGGGGCACATCTTTGACATACAATGTAATGTAGGCACCGGGAGTACAAAACTGTTCGTCACACTCATCAGCTGACTGAAACGATTGTTTTGCTGCCTCAAGCGCAAGTTTCCTCGTTCTTTTGAAATTTAAAATTTTATAGATCCGTGCATAATCCTTTGTTAAATTCTCTTTTGGATCCCATGGACTTGTTCTAAAATAAAAAGTTAATGATCATTATTATTCAAATAAAACCTAAAACTTTTCAGTCCTCGATAACGTTTAAACCTATCACGTGCACTCATTCCCTCAGGAGCCTCAACTTCATCAGGCCATTGACGATTTTCACGTTCTTTTTTAAATAACTCTTTCTGATGATCATCATTAATATCAATGTCGTTCAAATCTATTGATTCGTCCATTGTGGCACTCTCAACGACAGAATGAGAATCACCTTCTCCATTTTGAGAAAAATTTTCATCCTCCATTTGTGCACAGAAACCATTTTCCGTTCCATGCAAGTCGTTTCCATAGTCTTCGTCTTCGACAGAATCACTCTTATCAGATTCTTCCTCCTCATCATTATCCTCGTCATAATCATCATCGATTAACCAACTAGCCTGGTACTCTGAAGTCCCTTCTGGAAGCTTTACCTTCGGAACTGCGACTGAAATTTTTTTAATAATTATAAAGAAATATTTAGTACATTTTTCTTCATTTTCATCCATTTCCGGTTGATCAATATTCATCGGATCCTGAATAATCTCACTATCAAGCTGTGTTTGCTTCAAAGGATCGGTTTTAATAGCTCTGAGTATTTCCATTGATTCCGCCTTCTAAATAATTAAAAATTAAATAAAATTGCTTAAATAATACCTTGGATTGTTTTAATGGATGCGGATCATTCTCAAATACAACTTGACTCAATTGGAAATCACCACAACCAGAAATATGAACCAACCCATTAACATTTAAAGGAGCACCATTTAAATAACCAGAAATGAGAAGGGAGAAAGAATCTGAATTAACCTTAAATTTAAACAAAAGTATTGAATAATTAAATTATCCATGACCCACTTCAGTTTTAATTATTTGAACATTTTCAGCAATTAAGTAAGGCTTCAATTTTTGTAGATTCGAGCGGATCTTGCGTGCAGTGGAAATTTGTCGAAGAATTTGAAGAGGACTGCCGCCTTGTAAATCGTAGATTCGAGAGTCTTTTGCCCTAAATGAATTTTTTAAATCATCAGAAGTGTATTAGTTTATGTAAATAAGGGATAGATTTATTGGTAAGAAAATTTTGAAAATACAGTACAAAAGAATATATTAAAAATTACCAAGGCGCCATAAGCTTCTCAAGCGCTTTTCGTGTTGAATCACGTTGTTTTCCAGAAGCGGGAAGTGTTAAGACCAAATTAAATGTTGGTGGGAATCCATGTGCAGTAATAACATCCAATAAGCGACTATGTGCAATATGTAAATTTGTTGTTTCAATTGGCCATAAAATGACTAAAATATCAGAAACTCTTAAAAAATCAAGCGTAGAAATAATTGAAGTAATATCAGGGCAAAAGAAGGTGTAGCGTTGCTTGAAGCGAGGGACACTAAAAACAAAAATGAATAAAGAATTAGAGTAAAAACTACGCTAGATGAAAAATATTTCTTTTTTCATTCACATGTATAATTGCATCCTCGTCGGCAAGATTAAAAGTCTCGACAATTTTACGTGAAGTGAAGGCCTCGTCAAGCGAAATTATTGTCTAAAAACAAAGATGTCTAGATAAGAAGAATGAATCCAAAAAATTCCCTCCCAACAAAACAAGAGTAAAATAACATACAATGTTGATTGGTGACTGCCCTTCTTTTCGCTTCTCTTCTGATATTTTTCCAACTTTATTGGCCCGGATCTGCGAAGAACGATTTTTTCGAGCCAGCTTCTTCAAATTCTTAAACTTTGGTTGGGATTTTGATTTGATACCAACCTTCCCTAAAATAGAAAATTTTGTAGTGTCCGAACAAAAGGAGCAAGCGGATATAAAATCAACAAACAAGTACTAACGAAGCAAAACCCAAACAAAAAAAACTCCTGCCATTTCACAGGTTTCAAAGATAATAAAATATAAACAAACAATAAAATTTAACCTTTTTGTTCTTTAGCAATTGCATGCTTACTGCGATGCCGTCCTGACGAATGCTTCTTTGGAGGTAATTTGAAAAGACCAGTCCTATGAACTGTCGCTTCTGTATCTTTTGCCATTTCTTTGAAATAAGTATATTTAAAACAATAAAGAATAAAAAAAGAAAATATAACTTGTATTTACAAATTAATAAAGTGAATTTTAAAATAACAAAATATTCAACAACAATTTATATTTTAATTAACAAGCCAAATCCCAAAAGATAAATAAAAATTACAATAATACGGATCACAGTGGGTAGAAAGGAAACAGAGTAACAGGAGCAATTTTATCTGTCAACAATCTATAGGATTTTAATATAATCATTTTCCCATTAAAATTTAACTATCTTTGCACACAATGAAGTGTATTTAAAATAAGAATAACAGAAACAAATTTATCGTTCAAAAACATCTCGCAACAGTCAATATGTATCTACAATTCATTGCCTGTGAAGTCACCATATCGCCAAATGTTCAGATGCGCTTTACGAGCTTTTGTTTCCTGCTCCACATAATCATCAACCTAAAAAATTTATATTTATTAATTAAAAAATAAGCAGAAAATCATGCAAGACTACATAGTAAGTACGCTCGAATTGCTAAAACTAACTATAATTTTACATGAATCTATTCCTCTCTTAATATTTAATAAAATAAATACCAATTGCTGAAAGCGTGCTTCTCGTCGTTTTTCAACAAGAGCATAACCATCAGTGATAAGTTTTTTTGCAAGATCACGCTTCTCTCCCTTATTATCATCTGCAAACACTGTAACAGCCTCTAATCCACCGATTCGATATTCGACATTCAAATATAGATAAGGTTTCGAGAAACAGAGGCGCTTAAATGCTAGCATTGAATCCTCAGCGTATGAAGGATCAGGAGGAGCTGAGAAAGAAATAAAGAAATACTTTGATCAAAAATTTACCTGATACTAAAGCTAGCTGATATTCTTTCGCAAAAGGTGCTTGAGATTGAAATTGAGGAGGAAGTGGAGCGATTCGGCTCATTGACAAAGTCTCCCTCTGAAAATAATAATTTGTGTGACTGAAAGTGAAAATTAAAATAAAGAAAAAATACATTTCCGAAATCAATGTACAGCCTAAAATGAAGTTAAGATTAAATAAAATAGCAAAAATCTAATAAAGCCTACACATCAACGTTGTCTCCCTTCACACCTTCAACACGTGCACGATGCCATAAATTCCCATCTGTATATTTAGCAGCACAAAGTTGATTTCGCTTTGGAATAAATTTAATGATAGACGGTGTTTTGAGTTCAAGCTGTAAGGCATTCATTAATTTCTCGATTGAAAGACCTAAAATTTAATAAGTTAGCAATTTGCAAAAAATCCTTAACTAACCATCATCAAACGTTTGCGCAGCAAAACGGAAGCCTGTATAAACTTCTGTGAGCAAAATCTTCTTCAACTCTAATTTCCGTTCAGTTGTATCGTTGCCTTGTTTTTGATTATCGTCAATAAGTTGTTGTTCTTCCTCAACATGATGCTTCCAAATACCTAGTTTTGCAGCTTTTGCAATTCTCTCCGCGTTCGTTAAAAGAGTATAATATGAAGAACGTTCAGCAGTAAAATGTACAGTTGCGAGCCCATTCTCCACTAATAACTCGGAAAGGTTCTTCCAAACTCCTCGTTCTACTTGCACAAATAAATAACCGATAAATCCACCAGCTTTATCCATAGTCTCCACCTCGATTTGAACCTATAATATTAAAGTATAAAACGAATTGAGAGAAAAATATAACATCATGCTGGAGACATTTATAGCGAGTAAAGTTCATTGCTTGTAATGCAAAAGGTTCATCACTTCCAATTTGCTGTCCATTTGGTCCAATCCTTGCCGTTCGAGGTGCATTTATCCCCGAGAGGAGAAATGTTATTAAGCAGGATTCTTTTGGCACATAAACGCGAAGACGTGAGGCGCTTGCCACAAATTCAACTAGTCCATCAATACGCTGCGAACGCTGTAGATAGGGAAGAAATTGCTTGGAACGTTGAGCATCTCCCTGGAGTTCTTGAACACGAAGAGTATTTGCTTGGTCAGTTTTATCTGCCCAAAGTCCTTTTTTCTCGCCTTCAGCTTTAGTTTCTGCAGCAATAAGTTGATCATACTGCTGAGATCGATTATCGTCATCACTTCGATGTCTAATAACCTGTAATAAAATACAAGTAAAAAAGTCAAACAAGTTCAAAGAACCTTAGCATATCCACGTTCTATCATCATAATAGCAACATTTTGACCATTGAATAATATTGTGCAGCAAGTTTTCTCGGGAAATTGGTTTTGTTTTGGTTGCACATAATCAATCATAACTGTGACACGTTTATCGATAAGCCGTTTTCGCAAATATTCCCTAGCCTCAAACATAAAAGGAATGTCATAAAGAGGCCGTGGTTGTGTTCTAACAGCTGTTTGAACAGGAAGAGTGCCGTCTGTGCCTTCACGCCTGAATTAAACAATGTTTAATAACAAATTAAGTAGTAACCTAGGAGGTCTCAATGAAGAGAAATAAACTTTCAATTCCTCCCCATTGTCCTTCAAGACAGAAAGTGAATCGCAAAGACCAATTTCAACAACTTTTGCAGAAAATCCGCTCTTATTGATAGAAGGTGCCGATGTCGTTTGAGCATTAAAATTTTTCCTTAAAAAGAAGATAATGTATAAAAGTTAGTATAGAAATACCAAATGCGTAGACGTCGCTGCTTTGCAAAGTTCTCTGCTTCACGTAGTTTCTCACCACCGCCAGTTACCAGACCCATTGTCCAGTCAAGACATTTTGCCAAACCGTCTTTCAGCAAAAATTCAGCAATATTTCCTCGTGGATGAAGCACGCTACCAATGAAGTTTTGATTCGAGGTACTTTCTAAAATGACTTTCACATCTCGCTGAAGAAGTCGAATCTCAACAAAAAACTTAGCTTCTTCTCCAAATTCTTCAGGCTTTCCTTCAGTTCCAACACGCACTCCCGGTGTCTTAAATAATGAGAATGAAAAATTTTAATTTATAATTCTAAATAACCTTTACTCCACTGAAACCAATTGTGACATAATCAAAGGAAGGTAACAAAAATGCTCTGACAGTGCTTCCATCACGGACCTAAAATCCTATTAAAAATAAAAAAATTCAAAGAACCTGTTCGATTACTGCATCAACAGGCTTTCCACCATATTTAGTAACCAAAGATCGGGGATCATCAAAAGTCCATTGGATACTTCTGACGTGCTTTGTTGGTTCATCGCCAGACCATCGACCTTTCTTTGCCTCTTTTGCTTGTTCTTGTAATTCCAACAATTTTTTTGTAGACTCACTAAGAAAAAAATCATAAATGATTACAACAAATCAAAACTAACTCAATTTGTTTTCCTGGCCGAACTTCCAAAAGACCGGCAGAAACTCCTGATTCCGTAACGTTCTCTGCGCTTTCAAGCCCTTTAATGGATAAAAAATAACGGTAAAACATAAGTGGAAGTTTAAAATAATTAAAAAAAACCTGTGCCACCAATGTAAATGTGCCCATGCTCGCGTCCTGAGGTAGCAGTAAACTCCCGGACAAAAGTAACTGTTTGACCAACTAACTTTTTACGAATAAATTCTCGAGCTTCCCAAGCATATGGCTAAAAAATTATTTCCTACTTCCTCCGATTATTTAAAAATAACCTCATCTGGTGCAGCAGCTGTATTTTCTGTTGGACGTTTAGCCAACCTTGGAGCAACGACATTACATAAATAAACAGTAGTTTCATTGGGAGGACTTCCAGGCGCTACAGAAAATTGCAATACAACAGAATCTCCACTCAAGACCTAAAATAGAAATTTAAAATAAAATTTAAAAAAACTGGAGAACCTGTTTGACAAAACCACGTTTCATATTGTTTTCGAGAACAGGTTTTACAGGACCTTCAACCATCGTTTAGAAACGTATTTAGTCTTTAAATAAAAATCTAAAATTTTTGAAGGTTCATAATAATTAAATGTGTGTAATAATTTAAGGAATTTTATTTAGAATATGTTTTCAAAGATATTTTTTGTTTTAGCTTTTCCAAGATATTCGGATAACCTTCTTATACAACTTATTAGGTTATTAAGTTCATTAAGCCGATTTAAAGACATTTGTTTTACTATCGAATTTAATCTCTGTCGAAATTAAATAGCACCAGAATTTTGTTGTTAAATGCAATAAATATTTTAAAAGTTCGAACTTACAAATGCCAAATAATTATTTATGGCATTCTGATTTTATTTATAGGTAAAATCGATTTTTCCGGACCCGGATTCCGATTTGTACCTTGAGCCGGACTGGATCCGGCCGGATTTTTCCGGATTAATCGTGACGGGAAAAAATTCGGAAATCGCAAAAAACCCCGTATTTGGGACCCGGACTCCGGAAAATCCGGCCGGAGTCCGATCCGGCCCCGGTCACTAGGAGTAGGAGAGCATTGAGTACCGCTGGTTGAGAGGGACCCCCTCCCCCTACCTCCCATGGTTACGGG